AGCCATATGATGTCGCAAGCGGTTCTTCGCTGCGAGCGGGCGCCGTGACATCCAGGCTTTTCGCAGTCGATGCGAAGATAGCCCTCTACGGCCTGAAGCCTCTGCACAGCGATGCTCGCGTTATTGACACCCATTCAGCTGGGAGTGCACGAGAAATACATACATAGGACCACTCTCCTTGGATGCAGTGCACGCATTTTGGTGAGCGCGCGAGAGGCAGGCGTGTTTGAACCTTGAACTGGGACGATATTGCTCTAGCACTGTGCTATCCACATAAGTCACCGCTCGCGCGATGCAACAAGGATACGACCATCGGACGCTAACTTCTCTCAGTCCCTAGCTCCTCAGTCGATCCTGACGCGAGCGATCGAGTGATCCGGATGGTATGATCGCGACACATCGACTCCGATGAGACGACGACTTCCGTTTTACCGTTGGCAGATTCGGAACATCCCCTGGGAACAAAACTCGTATGGCGGGGTCCGCTACGAGCTGCTATGATGCGCGTTGAGTTGGCGCCTGGTGTAGGAAGCTCCGTCCTGACCGGGGTTTTAGTGCGCGGACTGAACGCGGACTGGATAACTTACGAGTCTGGACATGACAGACGCGTTGAGTGTTGTCGCTCGTGTAACAGAAGAACATGGTTTGCGCACTTTGAACTGCCCCGGTCTCGCGCCGGGAATGGCCGTTACCTCCGACTGAATTTACGATGCGGAGGGTAAGGCAGAAAAGCCAAAGGGAGGAAATGATCGATCTGTGGTGGTTGAATCGGTTATGTTGAGCGCGTTGTGATCCATGGCTGGATGTAAACAAGTTGTTCGTGGCATCAGGATGCATCCGTCGGATTGCCCGACATGGCGGCCGCGGACCCGTGTGGTGACAGTGTCAGAAACACTGCACGGCGAATTGGCGGCAGTTCCTTGCGGCGCAGAAGAGCGAATAGGACAAGATAGGACAGCGAAGAGAACCCACCGAGGGGCTTCGGTCACGAACGACAGCTCGCGCAACATCGTGCCAAAATGGCAAGTACCAAGTAGTAGGTCGAGAAGTAGGTGCTGTAGCACATGTCGCATAGGAGATGCAGCGATAAGTGGGAGATTGCGGACCGCGCACCGATTATTGTGTGTGTCAAAGTGCGAGAGGAGAACATGAGCAGCGCACGAGCTCAGACGAGCTCGTACGACTCTCGCCTCTGAAACGAAGGAGCCATCAATTAGGAGGCTGGAGAGCGGCGAGACGATCGCACTGGCCAATGGGGGCGCAGAACGGCTGTGGCGAGATGCAGCGTGCGAAATTTGGGGTAGCCATTTTCGAATATTGAGCAGCGCAAAGTGAGGCGACTGTCCCAGCGATAAATACTCTCAGCTCAGCCCGCTCAGCCCGCCCTCCCCTTTCCTCATCCTCCCTCCAGTTTCTGTCACGACTTGCTAGCCCGCCATGTCTTCAAAAGGTACCACATGACCCCGCTTCATCCGTTCTGCCTCTGCTAACGAGCGTACACCACCTCCAGCCATCCGCGAGTACGACGCGAAGCTCTTGCTGGCCTACTGGCTCGAGCGCGCACCCGCCGTAGACCCCTCTTGGCAGCTGGGCACCAAGTTCGCCTTCCCCGCCCCCAAGGTCGCCCAGGTCTCGTGGGACCCCGAGACGAACGCCATTACGCCCGACACGCAGCTCCCGAGCTGGGTGTTCACCACAAAACTCGTAGCAAAGCCCGACCAGCTCATCAAGCGACGAGGCAAGGCGGGCCTCCTTGCGCTCAACAAGTCCTGGGACGAGGCCAAGGAGTGGATTCAGGCCCGCGCAGGAAAGCCGCAGAAGGTGAGTACGGATTTCCGTTCTCCACCATGCCGTCCCGCTTCCGACTCGGAGCGTTCATTTCCGCCTCTATTCCGTCACGCGCGGGCAATTCCCCGCACTGGGATCCCTGCATTTCATTCCCCATGCTGGGGTACGCGCAGCCTGGTCGGCTAACAGTGCGTTGGGGACATATTGCCTCGCGCTTTGAGCGAGGCGCGTACCGATATTGTTACCACGTGACCCCGCCGCGCTTTCTCCGTTCCTTCGGGCCATCACAGCTACGTCCACATCGTTGGGCCCCGCACGAAAGCGCGTATAGAAGCGGAGGTCGTTGGATGTAGTGATCCGGATATTCCGCTGCTCAACCTGGGCTGCCATGTCGCGGCTGCCTGGCTCAGCCTGGCCGTCGAGATCCGCTGCGTCCGGCGTGATCCTATATCAGACTCGCTGGACTCCGACTATTGGTATGTGTGTTGAAAGGGTGCGGAGCCCAACGATATGGACCTAGCTGTAAGCGAGGTCAATATTTGGTTGTGCAAGTTCAATCGACGGCTCGGCAGCATGCGCATGGAGCGATCACATCGCCTCGTAGTCCGAGGCCTCTTATCCTACACCGCAGTGTAGCGACACCTACGACGTCCAATTACGACGTTGTAGCGAGGCCTGTGATGCTCCGCTGCAGCTTCATAGCGAAACCCGCCCTCGCATCGCGCGCGAGAGCAGCGATACTCAGGTTGTCAAACCAGCCACGTGCTCTCGCCTGGCGAGCTGCGACGGGCTTCAGAGCAGTAAATAAAGGTGCTACCCTACGCTCTCTCCCTCTCATTCATCCTCGGGCGCTGCGCGGTTTCGTGTACCAATATTGCTACCCCGTGACCCTGCCGCGCTTTCTCCGTTCCTCCGGGCCATTAAACGCGTCGTACAAGTGAGATGAATTGTAGCTGATTGCCGCTACACTCAGGTCGAGTCCATCACGGGCACGCTCAACAACTTCATCGTCGAACCATTCCTCCCCCACCCCTCCAACACCGAGTACTACGTCTGCATCAATTCTGACCGCGATGGCGACAACATCCTCTTCACGCACGAAGGCGGTGTCGACATCGGCGACGTCGACGCGAAGGCCCTGACCCTTCACATCCGCGTGAACGCACCCGTGCCCGACCGCAAGACGATCGCGGACACCCTCCTGAAGCACGTCCCCGCGGCGAAGAAGGAGACCCTCGTCGACTTCCTCGTCCGCCTCTACTCCGTCTACGTCGACCTCCACTTTGCGTACCTCGAGATCAACCCGCTCATCTGCCTGGACGCCGTCGATGGCGGCCAGCCGACCATCTACTACCTTGACATGGCCGCGAAGCTCGACCAGACCGCCGAGTCCATCTGCGGGCCCAAGTGGGCGATTGCGCGCGACTTGTCCGTGTACGAGCCCGGCACGCAGGCGACGACCTCGAAGGGCAAGACTGTTTCTGCTGACCGCGGCCCGCCGATGGTGAGAAAGCATGAGCTCTACTATCGTGCCATACTCACATGCCTTCCAGGTCTGGCCCGCTCCCTTCGGTCGTGACCTCACCAAGGAGGAGGCGTACATTCAGAAGCTGGACGCGTCCACCGGTGCCTCACTTAAGCTCACCGTCCTCAACGCTGAGGGTCGCATCTGGACGATGGTCGCCGGTGGTGGTGCCTCCGTCGTCTACTCCGACGCTATCGCTGCACACGGCTTCGCGCACGAGCTCGCGAACTACGGTGAGTACTCGGGGGCGCCGTCCGAGGGCCAGACATACGAGTACGCGAAGACGATCATCGACCTCATGACCCGTGGCGCGGTCAACCCTGACGGCAAGATCCTCATCATCGGCGGCGGTATCGCGAACTTCACGAACGTCGCTGCGACGTTCAAGGGCATCATTCGTGCGCTGAAGGAGTACAAGTCGCCGCTCATCGCGCACGGCGTCAAGATCTACGTCCGCCGTGGTGGCCCGAACTACCAGGAGGGTCTGAAGGCCATGCGCCTCCTCGGAGAGTCCCTTGGTGTTCCCATCAAGGTGTATGGCCCCGACACACACATCACCGAGATCGTGCCCCTCGCACTCGGTATCGCCGGCAAGCCCAAGAACCCTGTCCACTCAATCGCTGCTACGCCCGTAGGCCCGCCCTCCCCCACCATCAAGGCCAGCGCAGAGCCCATCGCCGCCATCGGGTCGATTGGTCCCGACGGCGAGCGCTCGCAGCCGAACGACCAGATCGTGCGCTTCGACAACGTCGAGGCGAAGGGCGCGCGGCCCACCTTCCGGCCGTTCGACGACCGCACACGCGCGTTCGTGTACGGCCTCCAGCCGCGCGCGATCCAGGGGATGCTCGACTTTGACTACTCATGTGGGCGCGAGGCACCGTCGGTCGCGGCGATGATCTACCCGTTCGGCGGGCACCACATCCAGAAGTTCTACTGGGGCACGCGGGAGACGCTGCTGCCCGTGTACACGAGCGTCGAGGAGGCGGTGGGCAAGCACCCCGACGCGGACGTGGTCGTGAACTTTGCGAGCTCAAGGAGTGTGTATTCGAGCACGCTGGAGATCTTCCAGTTCCCCCAGATCAAGGCAATCGCGCTGATTGCGGAGGGTGTGCCTGAGCGCCATGCCCGCGAGATTTTGAGCACGGCGAAAGCGAAGGGTGTCCTCATCATTGGGCCTGCGACGGTTGGTGGTATCAAGCCGGGTTGCTTCCGTATTGGTAACTCCGGAGGGTACGTGAATGTGTTATGTGGTGTAAGGTCTCTGACTGATGAGTGCTTTCTGCAGTATGATGGACAACATCATCGCGTCGAAGCTCTACCGCGCCGGTTCCGTTGGCTACGTATCCAAGTCGGGCGGTATGTCGAACGAGCTGAACAACATCCTTTCGCTCGTCACGAACGGCACGTACGAGGGTATCGCCATCGGTGGTGACCGCTACCCGGGCTCGACGTTCATCGACCACCTGCTCCGCTACGAGCAGGATCCCGACTGCAAGATGCTCGTCCTGCTCGGCGAGGTCGGCGGCGTGGAGGAGTACCGCGTGATCGAGGCTGTGAAGAAGGGTGTGATTCGCAAGCCGATCGTCGCGTGGGCGATCGGGACGTGCGCGAAGATGTTCACGACGGAGGTGCAGTTCGGGCACGCGGGCTCGATGGCGAACTCGGACATGGAGACGGCGGACGCGAAGAACCGCGCGATGCGCGCGGCGGGCTTCATCGTGCCCGAGACGTTCGAGGACCTCCCCGCGGTGCTGAAGGAGACGTATGAGCGCCTCGTGGCGGGCGGCGCGATCGTGCCCAGGCAGGAGCGCGAGCCGCCGGTCATCCCGATGGACTACAAGTGGGCGCAGGAGCTGGGCTTGATCAGGAAGCCGGCGGCGTTCATCTCGACGATCTCGGACGAGCGCGGGCAGGAGCTGCTCTACGCGGGTATGCGTATCTCGGACGTGTTCAAGGAGGATATTGGACTCGGCGGTGTCGTCTCGCTGCTTTGGTTCAAGCGCCGTCTCCCGCCATGGGCGACGAAGTTCATCGAGATGGTGCTTATGCTCACTGCTGACCACGGTCCGGCCGTGTCCGGGTGAGTGATTGTGTTTCATTGTGCTGCGTTATAGTCGCTCATGATGTCTCGTAGTGCGATGAACACTATTGTCGCGACGCGTGCGGGCAAGGACCTCATCTCCTCGCTTGCATCTGGTCTCCTCACTATCGGTAGCCGCTTCGGTGGTGCCCTCGATGAGGCCGCGTCGATGTTCTCGGGTGCACGGGACACTGGTCTCACGCCGCGTGAGTTCGTTGACCAGTGCCGCAAGCAGAACAAGCTCAGTAAGTGATTCGTGTCGTTGTGGGTGAGGGATGGCGCTGACTGGGACGACAGTCAGCGGTATTGGCCACAAGATCAAGAGTGTAAACAACCCTGATCTGCGTGTCGAGCTCGTGAAGGAGTACGTAACGAAGCACTTCCCGAGCCATAGCTTGCTCGACTACGCGCTCGCCGTCGAGAAGGTCACAACGTCCAAGAAGGACACGGTACGTGCGCTCCCCTACTCTCATCCCCGTCCGCACTGACTCTTGCTTGTTGTCCAGCTCATCCTGAACGTCGACGGTTGCATTGCAGTATGCTTCGTGGACCTCCTTCGGGACAGCGGCGCGTTCACGCCTGAGGAGGCAGACGAGTACATCAAGATCGGCACGCTGAACGGGCTGTTCGTCCTCGGGCGCAGCATCGGGTTCATCGGCCACCACCTCGACCAGAAGCGCCTCCGCGCGCCGCTGTACCGTCACCCCGCCGACGACATCTTCATCAACATGGCTGACCTGTCGCAGCCGCGCGTGCTCGGCAAGATGGCGTGAGGTGTTGGTGGGGAGAGGCGATCTCGTGTCGTGTAGGTGCGGGTGCTTTTTGGGTACGGGCGGACTGGAGTGGGGTCGCGGTGTTGTACATCTAACGCGCTTTCGTAGTTATAGCTGCATGTGTAAAGATTAATGATGCATCATAGACGTTTTATCCTCTCCTTTGTGTGCCCCTCTAACTCCGTGGTGCGATTCAAGTGGAGGTATGATCCCTGTTGAGGCGCGTGAAGACGCTCCATAGTGTCGGAGTGAAGCGTGTCTTGTGCTTCTGGGTCGAGACAGAGGTAAGTTAGTCGTGATTTGTCTTTTCTAGTTATCTGAGTTAGGCTAATTTGACAGAAATTCGACAGGACACTGCTCCTCGGAGGCATAGCCTGAGCGAGGTCTTTTACGAAGTGCGTTCAATGCCGTCAAGCTGATATGGGCACCCCGTCCAACGTCGTGTGGTCTGTACCGTCTCAGATACGGCGCCACGAGCTCGAGATAGCAGAATACCCCTGCTGACGGATTGTGCTTCTCCCAGGATACCTTTTAAGCAGGCAAGCCGCGGCCAGAAGGTACACATGTCCGCTGGACATCTACGTTGGCTCCACTGAGTCGGATTGCAGTCAGTCCGTCCGAGGCCAAGGACGCAAGATTCTGCTGACAGACTCGTGACACAGCCAAGAAACGGAAGTCGGGGAGAGACACGTAGCGCTGTCAGTGTGTTTACGGTGGATTGACTTCTATAGCATGCCGAGAATTGCTTGCTTCGCTGGGCTCTCGACGTCGAACGTCAGGACGTAGCGCGCAGACGAACATAACACAGAACTGGACGAGAAACTTGGGTCATACGCCCGTAGATCGTGTGCATCGTTGTCAAAGATCAGACTGATATGAAGATGCAATATCGATTACCACCATGTTGAAAGGGAGAGGGCCATTGACACGACAAGTGATGATAGTACGGCAGTGTAGATTGAGCGGAACCTTGGCTGCATGGAAAAGAAAGCCACCGCGCCACACAGGCTCTACCGCGATCTTCGGGAAGGAGGCTGACGATGTCGAGGGCGGAATCTTTGGACGTGTGCGGTGTTGCTCGGCCAAGAGATGGATAGGTGGCGGGGAGAGACACTGGCGGGGATTGGGCGGGCGTAACATCGCTGGCCAATGGGAGGGCTCGGTTGGGCGGCTCGCCGCAATTGCGCGATGGAGGATGGAACGGTACAAGAATAGTGGCCCCGCCACCGCCATGCCCCCCGCGATCCCCGCCTATCCCGCTCGTTTCTCATACCCTATCCCCTCTCGCTCTCCCCCAGCGAAGGCCCGTGGTCATGTCTGCACACAGCTCGGAGGCTGACTCGAAGAAGCGCGACGACGTCCCGCCTGGCCCCCACTACGCCGAGAACAAGGTGGAGGAGCTTCCGCGCCCCGCCTCAGATAATATGATGCGCCAGACAGCACGCCTCTGGGTATCGCCCTCTGTCCTCTTCACAAGAGAGCACTTCTTTGGCGATGTTAGCCCCGTCAAGGCCACCATCCCGCTGGCCGCGTTCTGCTTTATGACCGGCTTCATGTGCGTGCTCTCATCTCATCTTTTCCTGACCGTTCTAACGCTCTGCCGTTCAGTGACTCGGTCGCGTTCACCGCCGTCTTCGTGTGGGCAGGATTCCAGACAGGGAACACGGTCCAGGTGCGTCGTCCCCGTCTCTCGCTCTCGCCCTCAACTCACGCCGGAACACCGCACCGCAGCTCGCCCTCGCCCTCGCCCGACTCTTCTCAAAACCGACGGACCACTCCTTCCACATCGCCGACCGGCAGGCGCTCTGCTCCCTCATCACCTTCAACGCCGGCGCGTTCATCGGTCGCCTCGGCGACCGCATGGGCCCCCAGTCCCGCGCATGGCTCATGCTCGGCACCTTCATCCAGGCCCTCTTCACCATGGCCGCCGCCGTGGCCGCCTGGCAGAGCGGCCAGATCAGTGTCGCGACGGACCGTTTTAACCCCGCCTGGACCAACGCGCTCTCGTTCGTCGCCCTCGGCTTCCTGAGCGCGAGCATCGGCCTGCAGGGCATCATGGGCAAGCGCGTCAACACGCAGTTCACCACCACCGGTGAGCACCTCCTGCTGGACGCGGCCCCAGCGACCGCCGGCTAACCTGTTTCTGTCAGTCGTGCTCACGACGGTGTGGTGCGAGCTCATGGCGGACCCGAAGCTCTTCAAGTTCAACCGGATCATCTCCCGCGACCACAAGGTCATCGCCATCTTCGCGCTCTTCTTCGGCGGCTTCGTCGGCCGCGCCCTCATCGACCAGATCGGCGCGGCGGGCACCCTCGGCGTCGGCTGCGGCATCCGCACGATCATCGCCGTGTGGTGGCTGTTCGTACCCGGGAAGGAGGGCGCGCAGGGGAACAAGAAGCCCGCGACGGCATGAGTCGATCGGACGGGAACTAGCAGGGAGCGGACGTCGGTGGGTGTCGGCGTCGGACGGGTGCGGTGGGAGGGGTATTTTGGGACGTTCGGAGTGGGGAGGCGGCGCGGCGGTGGGGCGTCGTCTCGAACGTAGGCGGACGACGCAGGGCGGGGCGACGTGGCGGTTCGTGTTCAGAACGTCGGTCGGTTGGATGACCGTCCATCACTGTCCTTTTTGACTCCCTGTACTCCTGTCCTCACTCGGTGGTTGCCTGACGCGGCGTCTCTCGCGTCACTCGGATCCTTCTTTCGAGGTGGAGGTCGGGGAAGGAACGGTCGCATTGCATTGGCATTAGCTTGGGTATATACTACGTACAACATAGAGATTCTCTTCGACTCGCACATACACAACATAGAGGAAGCATCCAATCCAATTCTGGGAGATCGACGCATACATCCACGACACAAGCAGAAGTGCAAGGTAGAGAGAGAGGTGTACCACCTCTGGTAAGGAAAAGCACGCCAACGCCGACGACGTCGACGGGGGGCGTGCGCTCCAGCTGAGGCGGATGCGTTCGTTCTGGGACAAGCGGTAGACTCCTGCGAGAAGGGCCCGAGGGCGTTCGGTCGCAGGGGGACAATAGTGCGAGTCCGGAATGAGTGAGGAGCGAAGACGCGCGCTGGGCGATTTTTATGCGCTGAGGATGCACGTGATACAAGCGTTAAGACCTTACATCTGTAAAGTCGCAGAATTCAAATGCCGACGATCAAGCGGTCTCGTCTGAGAAACCGGTCGGAAAGGAGTCTCATTGGACAGTGCATTCCGGGAGGGTTAGACTGGGGATAGCTGACAGCGCGTTTTCGGACAACGTATTTTCGAACATATCACAGTATTGTACAATTAGAGATAGATTTGAAACGAGAGGCCGTCTTCACGATTCGGACACACCCAATGTTTCAGCGTTGTCGGGCACCCCAGGCTGAGTCTGTGGGCCATCTACCCACATCCTGGAAAAATGGCTAAACAAATATGGATTTATTGAATAATAGCAAAATACTCACTTTCCGACATGAACAATGTTCGCGTTCAGGCGCCTGAAGCGAGCACCAGCTTCAGTGTCCGAAGTCTTCAGGGTATGAATGTAGGCAGCAATTTTTCGAGTGTTGCACTCATAGGAATCACTGCTGAATTTCTTCGATGTGTGCATACCTGTCTTCGAGAATTCCTCTGCACAGCAGATGACAGTGCAGGCTGCGAGCACCATCGCCTGTGTTGGAATCCCATCCCAGAAGAGTGATGAGTCCGTGTGGCCCAAGCATTCTTTCCACTGGAACAGGGTGGCATTGAGAATTGCAGGGATGAGTCCCTGACTCTCAAATGCTCTGACAACAATAGTGGACTGTACAGAACAAGATTAATTGTCAGTCCTAGTACAAATCAAGAGAAAGTTCATCTGACAAGAATTATACATACATTGGCAGGGTCGATGATATGCAGCAGTGGCGTTGACTCCACATTTGCTTCGACAACATGATCGGTCCAAGCCCTCCTGCTTGAGCAGGCGTCGGCGCAGTCGATCATGAGCTCACTGAGATCCTCCTCAATGAGGCTGCTCGTCTCAGTGGGGAGTAGGTTAGCGTGATGAGTGAACGGGAACAGGTGCTCTGTGGCGGACTTGAAGGTACTGCGGAAGGTCGACACCATGTCGTGAGCCTACAACGAATTGTTTGTTATTTGAAAGGACATTTTAGGCAGGATGAAAATACGTACTTTGCGACGTAGCTCTGTGTCCTGCATTGGATCATACTTGACGTGGGTGTCTCGTAGGTCCTCAGGTATCTTTTCGGTGTGGCGGTCAACCTGGGCCACCTTCCACATTGCAGTGCCAACAAGGTCATCCATTAGACCTTTGTCAGGGAACACGGCCTTACCACCGATGATGAGTACTTCCATCATCGTCTTCAGCGTCAGGATGTACGCAGCACGGAGTTTCCTCTTGAGGGATTCCGGGAGAGGACTCAGCTTCATCGCATGCATGGGCTCACTGCTCGGTTGGGCAGTGAGGGTCTCAAGCTTGGCGGCCTGCTGCGACGGGCCAGCGCGAGGCATACCTGTGGCTGATGCTTTGATTTAAGTTGGGCGAGTTCAAAAAAGACACAGATTTCGGATTATTCAGCTTACCTCATGGCATTCGTGCAGGTTTGTGGGTCCCCCCTCAGTGGTCATCCAGTACAGACCTCGTATGCACAGTAGTTGACATGACCGTGTTGAGCCCGCGTCGTACTTGCGACGGGAGAGATTCGAATCTTAGACCGTGAGGCAGCATGTATGGGTGGTACATAGCAGGTGCCGGCGTCGATCTGCGCCGATCTGCACCAGTGCTATGGCTACTGTGCCAAGAGCCCTGCTCACCCGCCGCAAACTTGTGAGGGTGCGCAGTGACCCCTTGCGGACCAGCCCCAAAATGAGCTTGCGCGCCAGCCCCAAAATGAGCTTGTGCGCCGGCCCCGAAAGGCTCGCCGTGCACACCGGCTGCAAAGCCGATCTTCACCTGCGCGTCGGGGCCCAAAATGCCACGCATGACGGCGTCCAATTTGCCCTGCACATCGGCCCCGAAAGGCGCACCTTGCGCACCAGCTGCAAATTCAGGCTGCCCAGGCCCCTGCGCACCACCCCCAAAAAGGCCTTGCATGCCAGCCCCATACTTGCCTTGCGCATTGGCCCCCCAAAAATCCACCTGGTGTGCCACCCCCAAGATCGTCTGGTGCACCGCCTCTGAAATTGCCCCCAAGATCACCCCCGAAATTGCCTTGTGCACTGCCTCCAAAATCACCCCTGAAATCACCTTGTGCGCCACCTCCAAAATCACCTTGCACGCAGGCGCCGGTTTCAGGCTGCGCCTGTGCATGTTGAGGCTCGTACGGCGCAAAGGGTGGTGCGAAGTTCGTGACCGTGTCGTTCATGTTCGCGAAGTCGTCTTGGCTGCGAGTGTACATGTTCTGCGTGGCACCACTCTAATCTTTGCTAGTACTAGTAGGTTGAGGTTAGGTACTAATCTAAACATACCTGCATTACAAGATGGTTGAGACTGTAGTCATACTGTGTTGTCGCCGGAGGCTGGTCTCCTTCCCTCGCAAGTTGCGGTGCTTGCAAGTTTCCAGCTGGATTCAGCCCTGCTATGCGATGTGCATGTACGTTCTGCGAAAATGTCAGTATTACGATCCCTGAGGTACAAAGGTATCATTCTTATGATGGACCACCATGAAATGCCTTGGTGATTCCTCCGGAATGGCAGTTTGTTTCCACAGTGCACATGACATGCAGCCACCCCGATAAGCAGAGATAAGTAACTGTTAGTATGGGTTGCTTATCTGAGTCTGAAATTTCAGACTCCCAGACGACACGACTTGCACCAACAGATACAAACAAATGCAGTGGCTAAGCACTCAGTTATGGATATGAGGCCCATGAAATGCCTTAGCAGTTCCCCCAATAAGGAAACTGGTAAACATATCATGTGACTGGCAGCTTGGTGGGCCATTGCTCCAAGCGCTCACACACTGTAGGGCCTATATAGCCTCAGCCAGTAACAAATCATAGTATACATAGTATGCTCATCTGATAGCCCTTCATTCAGAGAGTATACAGAAATTCTATTGAGTGTATACAGTGGCTGGCTAACCCAGGAAATGCAAAGCAAAAAAATGCACATGTGCCTCTGCAGATTCAATCTGCTTGTTTATGACTCAAATATGGTCTATATGTACACTGCAATGTATATGTGTAGTTCAGACACTGTGGACTACTCAGTAGCTTCAATAATACAGGTAACAAGGACTATAATGGGTAATCTGAGCATCTTTTGCCATATTATGGCCCTTGCATACAATTTAATGGTAACCATTGCAGCTCAAGGCAATCATACACTTGTCTTTGATGTGTCTGTATATTTCATAGATTTTCTGCATTTTTCTGAGCCCTACATGCCCCTGTTTGTGTATGATTCCTCTTTGGGAAGGTCACATACTCCATATGGTAATTATGCATCCACTGCTGGCTTTGTCTTGCTCACAGACACAATCTAGGGATACATAGCTGAATGTGTACTTACACTACAATCTTATAGGGTTGTCCAGTACATAAGCAGTTCCAAGAGTGAAGTAGCAGGCTTATATAAGCTCACTGGGGCCACAGCAACCATCTTACCAGGTTATTGAGAATGCTATCTTATCTGATGTCAAACCCATGCAATATACAGCTTCATTCACATTGCCTGGATCATTTTAAATATTGGCTGAATTTTCCGCTTTTTTCTGAGCGTATACAAGCTCTCTTAAGCACAATAACAGTCCGCACTTACATCGCTTACTAAGCGCCCATTAAGCGCCCAGATGCGGTTCGGAGGTGCAACCGTGCGGAAATTTGGCACGGTTGCACCTCCGAACGGCACGAGAGGGATGCCGAGCTGCTCTGATTGGTGCAACAAGCCCTTTCTGCCCTAATCAGGCAGGCTGCCGAGGTTTTGAGCTGAGTTTGAATCTCAGCCACAGGCTCCTTAGTGGCACTGTACCTGCTGTACTGTGGCCCCACTAAAATGCGGAAAATTCCCAAAATAATCTCTGTGATAGATATGATGGCATAGAGTCTATAGCTGCTGTGACTTGCCCATTACCTTCAGTGGTTATGGCACAATTCACACAATAAAAAAACACACAAATGCCTCTGTGCACATGGTTGCATCCCTTTTCACCCTCAAAGTGATTCTTTTGAAGCCTGTAGACTGCCCATAGATTCTGCATGTCTTTATGACATCTGAAGCCTGCCATAAAGGGTATCTGACCTTCCCCAAATGGTAATTTCCATACAGCTGCTCAGTCTGGGCTCAGAAAATGCAGATAAAACCAGGGAAAATTCTGTGCAACTGGACTCACTTGTAGTACCTGCTGTATGTAAGAAATTGATCCAGTATAGCACCCCAGAGGCTATGACCAGTATGGCTTGCCCATGTATAAAATTCAAAATGCAGAAAAACACCCCTACCTCTGTAGACATGATAGCATTTGACTGGGATACACTGACTGAGCTCCAACCAACTGTTGTAGATATCATAAGCTCATCTCATAGCACTTCATTCATAGTGTCTATCATAGTTTCTTGAGAGATAATGGTTAAATGAGTAGCAAAATGCTAATATAAAAACAGAAGTGACTCTGTGAATATGAATGTGTTCTGTTGCATCTGAGACACATGACTGATGTCCTCTATGGCCAAGTGTATAGTTTCCAACACATTGATGTCTCTGAAACATGCACAGCAGTGCTACAAATGGAGAAATATTATCATAGCAAGCATGTGTTGATGTCCCAGCACTGAATAACTATACAGGACAATCCTCTCTACTTGTGAATATGCTCATAGATGCTCCACAGATCTCCTGGAATATTATCCGATTTTACTGCAGTAACAGGGTGCGCTTACATCGCTTACTAAGCGCCCATGTAAGCGCCCATTGCCAAAGCGGAGTCGTCGACAGGCCGGAATTCCGGCCTGTCGACGACTCCGGTCACTCAAAAGGGATTGTGGAGCACTCCCATTGGCTGGAATGCTGACAAATGTTGCCTTTTAAGGTAATCTTTTAATCTCAGCTCTTCATGCCGAGTTTTTTGATGGCTTGAAGCCACACTACCTTACTAGAGCCCCATTAAATGTGGAAGAATCCCAAAATATTGCTTCTCCATGCAATGCCCCTTGGGTACTGATAGCAGTGTCCAGATTAGGTATCTTTGAGAGTACTGACTATCATAAGTGATGATACTGAGGCATATAAGCAGATCTTGGTGTGTGTATGATGCTTGGACTAGACAGTTCCACATGTATGAGAGGCTCTGTGAAGTGGGGGATATCAAACATACAAAACTGCCATATATGGTCAGTCCCCTGCCCATTTGGGAAGTTGGCCGTGCATGGCCTCTGCAGGACTGGATAAATAGCAGGAAAATCAGAGAAAAATCAGATAGTACCATGAATTCATATTGAGTTGACTGTTGAGGCTCCAATATTGCAGAAAACATATGATAGTGCAGAATGACCCATGCATAGCCTGATACAAGCCACTCTGTCAGTGAGTCTTGGTCCATCTTGTAAGAACCAGTATCACCTGGGATTCTCAGGGACTGGCAATTCCAGACAGGATCCTAGGCTATTCTGTTTGGTTCAGCTATTAAATAGTACCTGAAAAGGCAGGCTGCCAAGCTGTTGGGCTGAGTTTGAATGCAAGCCACAAGTTCATTAGTGACACTGTATTTGCTGTGCTATGGTCTCCCAAAAAATCAAAAACAATTGGGAAAATTCCCAGTCATGTATATGATGTCAGAGAGGCTTTACATAGTATGCTTCCCCATAGATTCATACAAATATAGCACCAGTCACAAAGCACATGGCTCTGTGAACACTGGTTCTTTCACATTGTTTGTTTTTCCTGTGATGCTTACCAACTGCCTATGAATTGTGTGACTATATGACATCTCAAACCTGTTATATGTGATAGTTTACATTCCAAAAATGGAAAGTCTGGGTTACCTGCTGTGTCTGGGCTCAGAAAATGCGGATAAAACAAGAGAATATTTTGAATGATTCCACTCAGGCTCACCTTGTACTGTTTGCTGTAAGTAGTGATTGGCTTCTGTCTAAACCCTTGGGCAGGCTATGGCGTATTCAGAAAATGGTGGACACCTGTGGCACAAAGGCCACAGTTCATACTGAGCATGTCCATAATACTCACACATCAATAGCATAGCCATCAGAATTGTGGGTCCACGTAGCTTTTTCACACTGTACTGATCCTAAAAAGTGATACAAAGACATTGTACAAGTTGTGTTGTGCAGTGACTACTGTTGTGAGAAAGTCTATAGGCTAGCAATGTCATAAAGTGGGGCCACCACACTACCACACATAGTATATCAAAGTCTGATGGTCTCTGCAATGCTAGATAATTGGTAGGACATAAGATAAAATCAGACAATCCCATGACTTCACATTGTGCTGACTGGTGTAGGCCAATGCAAGGCAGTACATCTCAGATGTGCTAATGCAGATGCACATAGCCTGATGTCAGCAGCTCTATTGTAGCAGTCCAGTATAAGCATGTCTTTGACTAATCTTGTCAATATGAAGCAGTGCCATTTATATAGTATGATGGTGCTATGCTTGGTTGTCAGTCCCTCAGATTGTTTTTGCCTGGAACATATCTAACCTCTGTATGCACTACCATCATCCTGTTCTCATCCCTTGGCATGTGGAGATAGAAAAGGCAGCTTTCTTCCTGATTGTGCTCAGAAGAAGCCATGGTTGCTCTGGAAATAATGTAGACTTGCATTGCTTACTAAGCAACAGTGATGAGGCCATACTACAATGGACTTCTGAGCCAATATAAGGCTGTCATTTTATAGCTCTCTAGTCAGTAATATGACTTCAGGAGTACTCTCATTTGCTGCAACTGTTTCCTTTTACATGTGATTATAAAATGTCAGCTACCCATGCTCAATCATTTCATGTTATATGGGAAGTGTAGAAATAACGCTTTAGACCAGGGTGTGAATATGTTTGATATATGAACAGCATTGGAAATATGAATATGTGGCAGTGTGCCTACTAGCGCCCAATTTGGCAGTTGTTCCTGGATGGTATGTGCCAGAGGAATGTCAATATCAACATATGGTGTCTAATCCAAATATAGTACCATTGTATGTGCACACACAGTCCCTCAGAAAATGACACTGGTAATCAATTACCTTGGGAGTGTGTCTGAAGATATAGAAATCCCTAGACTTATGACCAGAGAGCATGACCATTGATAATAGGCATTACTAGAATACCCAGGAGAGGCTACAATGACCCCATGTGCAAGTCTAAGTATGCAGGCTGTTGTTAGGGACAAGGCATTTTCACAAGGAATTCCACATATGTGATCTTTGAATAGGATAAGCAGCAGTTGTGATAATTCCTGCACTTTGTTATCTTTATTTGATTTCCTTTTAATGGACTTCACTGTAGTATTCACAGTGCCTTCTCACCACATTCAGGTGATCTTTTGTTTCTCACATTGTTATGCTTTGTAGCACTTGATTGTGTATGTACTGACTGGACTATTACCAGGCTCCTAGTACTTTCCTCAGGCCCCTTGTGACCAGATGATCTGAAAGCTGTTACTGGGTGACTATTAGCTCAGAATATTGATGATAATATTCCAGGTGGCAGGCAATCTATGAGTGGCTCATCAAGCTGTACACTATTTCTGAGTTTTCATAGGGCTACACTAGTGTTTCAGGTTAACATCCATGTGGTCCCTCATGTTTCACAGAGCACATGCTTGATGATCAGTGGCAATCATTAACACACATACCCTTGCCTTGCTTTTTTACTACTTTTTGAGCCTTATTGTGCATCTTGAATGGCCTGGGAAAGTGGTGTACTGAGTCTTCTACTATTTGGATTCTATGAAGTATTTTATGTAGCTCAGAGGGAATGCACTTGGGAAATGCTCAAAAGGAGCATCCCTAAGAGCAAGTCCAAACATTTATCTCATCTACCACTTGCTACTGTACTCCTCTGTACCTTATTGTCAATAGTCCCTGACATCAGTGATCAATCCTTCCCACAACTCTATCAGTCTTGATGGCACTCACCATGGTGGTACATTGATTCACATCATACATTAGCCCATTGGCTGAGCTCCAATCCAGTAACATACCTTAGTATGGCTTTGTACTACTGGTCAGTGCCTGGTAACTGTTCACTTCAGTGTACAAATGGTGAGAGCAAACTGGACAGTCTTTGGTTGTATTCCTTGTATAACATGACAATTCTTGAAGGGCCTTTTTCAGAATTCCTTACTGGTATACTTCTCTGTCTACTGTTGATTGGTTTGTACTTGGGGAAGTACTGTTAACAATCTATTGAAAGACATCCTTCTGTATCAGAAGTTCTCTCTGATCAAGGGCTAATACTTGTACAACAGCAAGTCCCAGCTGAGTAGTTGTTACTGTAGTCAACCTCCCAGATTCCCCTTCCTTGAGTTCTAGTTGATCTAGAGGCATACTTCTTTGCAACATTTCCAAGCTCTTTTCTCTTTGTTGATATCAACACAAACTAGTAATACTATTCATAAGTAGTCTGGTAATATTGATTAATAACTTGGCAATTCACCAAGTAAGAAACAGATTCATGATGTCTGTGTTCTCAACAGAGAGTCTCATATGAACATGCAATAAGTTACTCAATTGGGATGTTACTCATGATTGCAAACTATGATCCTCATATTAGAACAACCTAATAAATAAGCAGGCTACTCTGAATGTTTGTGCCATGAGATGGCAACTGGATGGTGCAAAATGTGGAAGATATGTCAGTTATGCAGACAATATACTAGCAGTCTTGCTGAGCTTAACTTCTGATGTGGTCAAAATGTTTTACTCACAAACTGACATGTATCCAACAAAAGGGATCGTACTGCCAGCTATGGCCCTCTCCCCAGCAAGTCATCATCATATGTGAGATCTTCGTATAGGAATGTGGGGCATTGGTCCGCCGTAACGACTGCAGTCCTGTTCTGAAGTTTCTTGCGTATCCTAACAATAGTCGTATGTTATCTGACTGCTATCCGCCGATATCCTAGCTGACTCACTTGGCGTCATCCCAATCCAGATGTGTGGGGCAGAGAAGCCTACCTGTATCAACATGGGCAAATCCGTACCCAACTCTGGAATCTCGAAGGAGCGGTGGTATCAAGGCCCCACCGTCAGGGTGGACCCAATCAAGAATGGCTTTTTTCACAGACTGTGCATCCGTTGAGCGGGCACCATCCCTGCCTGCATCAATCTTTGGACAATCAGTCCAAACTGGATGATTCCACACCTGCTCCATTACAACTTACTAAGGCTGCTATGTCAGAAGTATGCTCGCCATCTCTGAGGCGCTCTTCCAGGTTGGGGTCTAGCTCTCTGAGAGTGTCGAATAGTCTGTGCTGTTTTTCGTTGCTATGTACGCGGTCCATTGCAAGAATTGTAAGTTCTGGGCATGAGATGCCAGAAAGGCACAATGCTCACCTCTCTGATAGACCAGCATCCTCAAGACATTGAAGACCGAAGTCTAAAATCACTTTGATGTTGCAGAAGGCATGCTCAGTCCGTCCAAAATGGTGTCCAAGATGCACCAACAGATCCCCCTTGTGCCTATTGGAACAGTGTTCATGGACATCAGCATGTCTCATGTGAGCCAAAGGGAAGCTTACTCTTTGTTGGATCTGGAGAGCAAATCCTGCCTACGGTGTTTGTAGCTGGTGTTATGGGAAGGCATCTGGGGTTGTTGCAGGCCTGGTCAATGCAGCAGATGAAGGTGAACCCGTCAGACTACTAATTCTGCAATGGCTTTGGCTTAAGGTGGGTTTAGGGCCCCAAGTTCAGTGGTGGTGTGCTCAAGGACGGTACCACCAATGTCTCAGCTTTTTTGGCCATGGGCCCCCCTGGGGGGCATCTATGCCTGTGAAAAGTCTCAAGACCATAGGCCTTGACTAAAATCAGCAATCCCATTGCTTATAGGTGTATAAGGGCCTGTCAGACAAATGGAGGCTTTGCTGATGCCATACAACTCCAGTGAGAGTGAAGAGGTGTCGTGTGCTTCAGCATCCATCCAGGCACAGCTCACGGGGGCCCATGCTGCCTCAGAGCATGTTCCATAAGGACTTCCAGGTGAGTTGCTCAACTTCTTGGGCACCCAGTCTCTTGATTCAGCTAGAACGCAGGAAGATGTGGGCATCCTTTCACGAGAAGCCTTCTGTATGAGTACCACGAATACCTTTGGTGGGCAGACATTCTGGAAAGAACTGATCTAGACTGCAAGCCTTTGACTGAACATAACATATGTTGGAGGTCATTTCCTACTGTGCAGCAGTCACCAGTGTAGAGGCTAACTAAATTTACTTTGGAGATTTGAAAAACATCAGTAGGGCACCTTGATGCTCCTCACCACACTGAGACATCTGGGATGAACATTGAATGCTGGCACACGTCACGGCGGGGCTATTGATGTACACATACAGCTTACCTGCTGAGGTACTGGACTTCACTCACACCTGCCAGGATGCCTCAAGTCATTGTATCAATCACCTTGGTGGGAACCCAGGCCATGGTGACAGTGGCCACCAATGCAGTCCCTGGGGTTGCTGTCTCTAGAACGGCTACCGTAGCCATCCCACCTCCTGCTCCCCTTCCTGCTCCCCTTAATCTCTTGGGGCCTGTCAACACCCTGCTGCCAGCCCACTCAGGGGCACAGCTGAATGCAGTGATCAATCTTATGCTCAGTGGCAACACCTTGGCAGAGGACAAACTCCTTGCAATCAACAGTGTTCTGCTGGATGAGGTGGGCAGTGTGGGTCACAGCATGCTGGAAAGTAGGCACTACATCAAGACTTTGTTGGCATGGTGGTTTGCCCATTGCCGCCCTGCCATCGACAAGGAGCTCACTGGGTTCTCCATACTGGAAGTCCAGGCCTTGATAGGGCAATATATAATGATATATTAAAATGAAGGTGTTGAATTTTGGGCTGAAAGTTGGTATATGGGTAGCTCTATACTAGTACAGTACTGACACAAAAAATGGGACAAAATGGCAGACTGGGTTTTGAGCTATAAGCATACCAATTTTGTTGTTTGGCACAGTTCCCTTGTGCAGTACCTGCATAAGTGAACACGGGGGGGAGATTGTTCATAGAAACATGCTCCATTTCACTGTAGGATGCATGGTGTAAAAGGGCTTGGCCATAGGATGAGCAGTTGTTGCTGTAGGGTGGCCAAAACACAAGGGGGAACATGTTCCGCCATACCACAAGGACTAACATTTAGCTCTTGGCAACATCTTGACAAGATATATATATCTTCAATGTCTTGAGGTTTTGGGTGGTTTTCCCTGATGCACCAGCTGCTCCCATACTTGCTGGGGAGAGGGCCATGGCTGGCAGTATGATCCCATTGGTTTAGACACATTGAGGTGTGAAGAATTCATTATTGCCCATTTTCACTGTCTAGTTGCTGCCTGACAGCCCAAATACTCTATGCATCCTGGTTATCTACATTGTTGATGTCAGTGCTCCATCATGAGCAATATTACAATTGAGCAAGTAAGCCACTGTGTGTTGTGTGTCATTGCTATATTCATAGGAAACTGTCTGTGAAGAGCACAAACTTACACTGAGACTTGCACATGGAATCATTATTGCCTTTGCTCAGTATTCCAGTAATGCCTACTCAATGGTCATGGTATCCAGTCATAAGTCCCATGAACACAAAGGTTTTCAACCTTTGTGAGATAACTTTTGGTTTCATCTGCTGGCTGACACTTACTTCTTTTGTATGCATGCATGGTTCACCACCATATTGCTCTTGTTCAACCACCCTCTCAAAATATACAGAAGCACCCAATAGGAGAATGTGAGTGCTTGGGATTATCATAGACATCACTACACCATGTACATGGACTAAAACATGTGAAAAGAGGGTCAAATGGCTCATTGTGGCTGATTTTGGCTGCAGTGCAGCACCCACTGATTTGTACAGTGTCTGAATCACATATGTATGTCATTACAGACATATGAAACACATCTGAGGCACAAATAGGCACTTTGACATCTGCAGAGGCACATGTGGATTTTTTTATTTCGCAGTTTCTGGACCAGCCAGCCACTCTAGCTACTCAATAATGATAGTGTATACTCTCTAAATGAAGGGCTATCAGATCAGTATACTAAGTCCACTCACTATTGTTACTAACTAAGGCTATGGGGCAGCCTATAAGTGTGAGTGCTAGCAGTGAGCTGCCTGGCTGCCAGTCACATGATATGCTCACCAGTTGCCATATTGGGTGCCACTGGAAGTGTTTCTTTGGCCCTCACCCCAGGACAAAGCACTGAGCCACAGCATTTGTTTGGTGGTGTTGGTGCAAGTCGCGTCATCTGGGAGTCTGAAAATTTTGAACTCCGCTAACTGACCATAACAAATGTTAACTATACATGGTAAGCTGGGGGCAAATGACTGTACCTGTGGGAAAAACCTGCCGCATTGGGTGCCACTGGAAGCGTTTCAGGCCTGTCCATCATAAGAACGATACCTTCGTACCTCAGGGATCATAATGACATGTGCAAGTCTTAGTTTACAGTCTGTGCTCTTTCAAACAGACAGTTCCTAATGAATATAGCAACCTATACAAGAGGCACAACACATGGTGGGTTACTTCATCGGAAAGCTGCTCATGGTTGAGCATTATAATCTAACAACCACATAGATAATCAGGCTATGTGGGATATTTGGGCGAAAGAATGAATTTCTACACAAACCAACATGTATCTATGCCAATGGGATTGTACTGCCAGCCATGACCCCCTCCCCAGCAATTGAATATGCTAGCATCAATGTCTATGATACTTTCCAGGCCACAAAGTGTCAGAATTTGAGTGAGGTATTCAGTCCAGGAGACCAAACCTCTGCTTACTAAAAATGGACATCATCACACAGGATGATCTTTCATGCATCAAGATGTTGGTGTATTGGTTTCATACCATTTACAGGCAATGAAAACATGTATAGAAACACAGCCCAATTTATTTTATGGCTGCAGAAGGGGTGGCAGCTGAACAAGGGGTGTCCAACACTCTAGTGCCCGATATTGACCCCCCCCTAGACAACCCCCCTGCAGGTTTCTGGGGTCCCAATATTACAGGGAATTGCACTGTTCTGAGCACTGTCCTTTGAAGTCCACTTGTCCGGGCACTCTGCACCATGCAAAGTTGTGTAGTCACATCTCAGCATATATAGGATACCCCCAAACAGATATCTTAGGTACAGGGTGCATGTGTGCAAAGATATATGGATCATGACTGTATTTGGTAGTGCATGTGCATATGTAATAAACACATATGTCATCGCATTTTGTAAGACACGTCGGTGTGGCTGTTGAACGACAACACGACAACATGACTGGTGCACACACTTCCACATATACTGTGCCTCTCTGTCTGCGAGATATGTACCATGCTGCAAGACTATCCCTCTGATGACTTGTACCCACCACCAACTCCCATTCACTACCGCGACTGTCTCCGAAAACTTGCGTGCAATTATGATCCCTGAGGTACGAAGGTATCGTTCTTATGATGGACAGGCCTGAAACGCTTCCAGTGGCACCCAATGCGGCAGGTTTTTCCCACAGGTACAGTCATTTGCCCCCAGCTTACCATGTATAGTTAACATTTGTTATGGTCAGTTAGCGGAGTTCAAAATTTTCAGACTCCCAGATGACGCGACTTGCACCAACACCACCAAACAAATGCTGTGGCTCAGTGCTTTGTCCTGGGGTGAGGGCCAAAGAAACACTTCCAGTGGCACCCAATATGGCAACTGGTGAGCATATCATGTGACTGGCAGCCAGGCAGCTCACTGCTAGCACTCACACTTATAGGCTGCCCCATAGCCTTAGTTAGTAACAATAGTGAGTGGACTTAGTATACTGATCTGATAGCCCTTCATTTAGAGAGTATACACTATCATTATTGAGTAGCTAGAGTGGCTGGCTGGTCCAGAAACTGCGAAATAAAAAAATCCACATGTGCCTCTGCAGATGTCAAAGTGCCTATTTGTGCCTCAGATGTGTTTCATATGTCTGTAATGACATACATATGTGATTCAGACACTGTACAAATCAGTGGGTGCTGCACTGCAGCCAAAATCAGCCACAATGAGCCATTTGACCCTCTTTTCACATGTTTTAGTCCATGTACATGGTGTAGTGATGTCTATGATAATCCCAAGCACTCACATTCTCCTATTGGGTGCTTCTGTATATTTTGAGAGGGTGGTTGAACAAGAGCAATATGGTGGTGAACCATGCATGCATACAAAAGAAGTAAGTGTCAGCCAGCAGATGAAACCAAAAGTTATCTCACAAAGGTTGAAAACCTTTGTGTTCATGGGACTTATGACTGGATACCATGACCATTGAGTAGGCATTACTGGAATACTGAGCAAAGGCAATAATGATTCCATGTGCAAGTCTCAGTGTAAGTTTGTGCTCTTCACAGACAGTTTCCTATGAATATAGCAATGACACACAACACACAGTGGCTTACTTGCTCAATTGTAATATTGCTCATGATGGAGCACTGACATCAACAATGTAGATAACCAGGATGCATAGAGTATTTGGGCTGTCAGGCAGCAACTAGACAGTGAAAATGGGCAATAATGAATTCTTCACACCTCAATGTGTCTAAACCAATGGGATCATACTGCCAGCCATGGCCCTCTCCCCAGCAAGTATGGGAGCAGCTGGTGCATCAGGGAAAACCACCCAAAACCTCAAGACATTGAAGATATATATATCTTGTCAAGATGTTGCCAAGAGCTAAATGTTAGTCCTTGTGGTATGGCGGAACATGTTCCCCCTTGTGTTTTGGCCACCCTACAGCAACAACTGCTCATCCTATGGCCAAGCCCTTTTACACCATGCATCCTACAGTGAAATGGAGCATGTTTCTATGAACAATCTCCCCCCCGTGTTCACTTATGCAGGTACTGCACAAGGGAACTGTGCCAAACAACAAAATTGGTATGCTTATAGCTCAAAACCCAGTCTGCCATTTTGTCCCATTTTTTGTGTCAGTACTGTACTAGTATAGAGCTACCCATATACCAACTTTCAGCCCAAAATTCAACACCTTCATTTTAATATATCATTATATATTGCCCTATCAAGGCCTGGACTTCCAGTATGGAGAACCCAGTGAGCTCCTTGTCGATGGCAGGGCGGCAATGGGCAAACCACCATGCCAACAAAGTCTTGATGTAGTGCCTACTTTCCAGCATGCTGTGACCCACACTGCCCACCTCATCCAGCAGAACACTGTTGATTGCAAGGAGTTTGTCCTCTGCCAAGGTGTTGCCACTGAGCATAAGATTGATCACTGCATTCAGCTGTGCCCCTGAGTGGGCTGGCAGCAGGGTGTTGACAGGCCCCAAGAGATTAAGGGGAGCAGGAAGGGGAGCAGGAGGTGGGATGGCTACGGTAGCCGTTCTAGAGACAGCAACCCCAGGGACTGCATTGGTGGCCACTGTCACCATGGCCTGGGTTCCCACCAAGGTGATTGATACAATGACTTGAGGCATCCTGGCAGGTGTGAGTGAAGTCCAGTACCTCAGCAGGTAAGCTGTATGTGTACATCAATAGCCCCGCCGTGACGTGTGCCAGCATTCAATGTTCATCCCAGATGTCTCAGTGTGGTGAGGAGCATCAAGGTGCCCTACTGATGTTTTTCAAATCTCCAAAGTAAATTTAGTTAGCCTCTACACTGGTGACTGCTGCACAGTAGGAAATGACCTCCAACATATGTTATGTTCAGTCAAAGGCTTGCAGTCTAGATCAGTTCTTTCCAGAATGTCTGCCCACCAAAGGTATTCGTGGTACTCATACAGAAGGCTTCTCGTGAAAGGATGCCCACATCTTCCTGCGTTCTAGCTGAATCAAGAGACTGGGTGCCCAAGAAGTTGAGCAACTCACCTGGAAGTCCTTATGGAACATGCTCTGAGGCAGCATGGGCCCCCGTGAGCTGTGCCTGGATGGATGCTGAAGCACACGACACCTCTTCACTCTCACTGGAGTTGTATGGCATCAGCAAAGCCTCCATTTGTCTGACAGGCCCTTATACACCTATAAGCAATGGGATTGCTGATTTTAGTCAAGGCCTATGGTCTTGAGACTTTTCACAGGCATAGATGCCCCCAGGGGGGCCCATGGCCAAAAAAGCTGAGACATTGGTGGTACCGTCCTTGAGCACACCACCACTGAACTTGGGGCCCTAAACCCACCTTAAGCCAAAGCCATTGCAGAATTAGTAGTCTGACGGGTTCACCTTCATCTGCTGCATTGACCAGGCCTGCAACAACCCCAGATGCCTTCCCATAACACCAGCTACAAACACCGTAGGCAGGATTTGCTCTCCAGATCCAACAAAGAGTAAGCTTCCCTTTGGCTCACATGAGACATGCTGATGTCCATGAACACTGTTCCAATAGGCACAAGGGGGATCTGTTGGTGCATCTTGGACACCATTTTGGATGGACCAAGCATGCCTTCTGCAACATCAACTTGCTGGGGAGAGGGCCATGACTGGCAGTACGATCCCTTCGGTACTATAGCACGTGCTTGTTTACAATTTAGGCAACCTTGACATAGAGACCTATTGTCATATGTCTGTTCCCTGCACTGCACAGTTGCAAGCCACCACTTGCAGTCAGGATACCTTCATCAGTGCAATTCTGTCCTGTCTCTTTGCCATCATTGAACCAGATATGACCATTTGTTGATATTATCCTTGCTGTGAAGTGGAATCCACCAAAGTAAATCACCCCACACAGTCGGTAAGAGGTGTTACCTAAGGCAGTGTTAATGTCCACCTTTTTCTCTAGCCTAGTGCAATCTGCCCTGTATACATTAAATGCAATAAAGTTGGGTGCTGTTGTAAGAACTTCTTCATGGATCATAGTTGCATTACAAAAGCGGCATCTGTTGAGCTCGGAATTTATTCCACATTTCTGCGAATTATTCTGAGCTCCATTGCCCTGTCCAAGTCGTGGAACGTGTCCTGGTGTGTTTTTCTTTATTCTACATGGACGCCATCACTATACCGTGCATACTTAATTTTTTCCGATGTCATTCCCTTCAGTCTACCATTTTCCATAATGTTTGCATCTTCAGGGATTTGAACCCCTGCACTCATCCGATTTTTCACTGCTTCGTTGATTTCGACTTTGTGGCTGTTTCTACTGTACAGTTATGGTCGCCTTACGTAACGCACACCATAGACAGTCCGCCTCGTCGAGCTCTAAGTCCCTAAGACTTTACAGAGCTCGACTTAGGCCTTTGGAATCGCTCTGAGGCGCACTGCAGCCAACATATGGATCTGTTTCTTACTTGATAAATTGCCAAGTTGCTTACCAATATGATCTGAATACTAATGAGAAGTGTTACTGGTTTGTATCAAAAGTAGCTTGGGAATGGATAGCATTCTCAATAAGCTGGTAGGATGATTGCTGTAGCCCCAGTGAGCTTATATAAGCCTGCTACTTCACTCTTGGAACTGGTCAGGTACTGGACAACCCTAGAAGATGGTAGTGTAAGTACACATTCAGGTATATATTCCTAGACTATGTCTGTGAGCAGGACAAAGCCAGTGGCTGGATAATCACCATATGGAGTATGTGACCTTCCCAAAGAAGAATCCAACACAAATAGGGGCATATAGGGCTCAGAAAAATGCAGAACATCCATGAAATATATAGGCACATCAAAGACAAGTGTATGAGTGCTTTGAGCTGCAATGGTCACCATTACATTGTTTGAAAGGGTCATATCATGGCAAAGGATGCTCAGATTACCCATTATAGTCCTTATTACCTGTATTATAGAGGCTACTGAGTAGTCCACAGTGTCTAAACCACACATATACATGACAGGGTACACATAGACCATATTTGGGTCATAATCAAGCACTTTGTATCTTCAGAGGCACATGTGCATTTTTTTGTTTTGCATTTCCTGGCCTAATCAGCCACTGTATGCACTCAGTAAAATTCCTCTGTACTCTTTGAATGAAGGGCTATCAGACGAGCTTACTATGTATACTATGATTTGTTACTAGCTGAGACTATATGGGCCCTACAGTGTGAGAGCACTTGCAGCATTGAGCCACCAAACTGGCAGTCACATGATATGTTCACCAGTTTCCTTATTGGGGGAACTGCTAAGGTGTTTCATGGGCCTCATATCCATAACTGAGCGCTTAACCACTGCATTTGTTTGTATCTGCTGGTGCAAGTTGTGTCGTGTGGGAGTCTGAAATTTCAGGCTCAGATAAGCAACCTATACTAATGGTTACTTATCTCTGCTTATCGGGGTGGCTGCAAGTCACGTGCACTGTGGGAACAAACTGCCATTCCAGAGGAATTACTAAGGTGTTTCATGGTGGTCCATCATAAGAACAATACCTTCATACCGCAGGGATCGTAACATAAATAGAGACTCAACAAACTTGACACCCTCCCCACAACAGAGTGCTCTCACACTTGGTGTCAGGGCTCAGACCATATCTACTCAGTCCCAACTCACTTCTTTATGCATGCCTTACAGCACATTGGTGCTGATCGACACACCACTTTTCCCAAAGATGAGATGCTGTTGAAATTGAACTCGCTGGTGAATGTCCTTTGCCGGAACCATGAAATTGTGGCGCTAGCTGTCGTGGATGATGGGGTATAAGCACATTGTATTCACTCAGGCAATGATTAGAAAAAACACATAGCTCCTCATAACAGCAAATCCTGCCCAAATGGTCTCTGACAAAGTGAAAGGTCTTGAGCCAAAAGGTGCCAGAAGGGCGCAGAAGAACCAGATCCACATACCTGGTGATGCACTTACTGACCCTCAGGGGCCTCCTTTTCATCCTGGTGCAGGGAATGCATCCGTGTTCCCATTGTTGCTGAACACGAGCTTCATGAAATAATAAGAAACTGTGAAGAACATCAACAAATATCTATGGCTGACTATCACACACTGATTACTATCACCCAAAATCAGTGAGCTGCTGAATCTACATTTTGCATGACTGTATCTCACCAGGCTTTAGGGTGCTGACGTTCCAAAATCTCATCGGCAACATTTTTGGGCTCATCAAGTACATTGCAAGGTGCAAGCAAGGATGTGGGGTCAAATTTGTTCTACACCTATGTCTTTGCCATATCTTCACCAAAAATGAAAAGACACTGCAATCAACAAGAGGCTATCAAGGAGGCATACTTCGAAATAACTGATGACACAATCCCCAACCCTGAGTCCTCAGATGAGCCGGAATGGGACACTGGGCTAGCGACATTGCTCCTTTGTGACACGGAGTCTCTTGGAATTGCACATCCATGCCTCCAGGCAATTGCACACAAGATGATGGACAAAATGGACGAAACCATTACAAAGAAAGATGATACCATTACCACAAAAGACGCCTCCATCAGCCTGTACACCAAGGAGATGGCCGTTGAGTTTCACAAATTGATGAAGACGACTGTCGGGCGTTACTATCAGTGTGTACACCAATGCGCCAATACACAGACAGAATGTGCCAAATCAGAGACAGGAAGCAACATTGAAGCCCTCATGGATTGTGTGCGGTCACTACACATCACAGCTCTGGCACTGTACGCCATTGTACACACCACTGCTGCGCGCCACTATGCTGCGGCCATTGGCGCCGCAGTGGGACACAAATTGATTGGTATCTCCACCCTCTAGCAGACGACATGCTTACTGACCACACACTGCAGTTCACGGCCATTACCAAAATGCTGAGGAAGACGACCTCAGCCTGGACGAGGCGGAAACACAGGGCTTGCCTGAGATACCACTGTATCAGTGCTTCTGGGAATGGCTTCTGCTCCTGACAGCCAGCGCTGGAGACTTTGTGCGCGTTCATAAGGCCACCGGCACATTTCCCACCAAGATATTGCTCATGATGATGAAACAGGCAGTCCCCAAGCTCTTACCTTGGGATGACCTTGTGGTACAGATCTTAGAAGGTGCACCCGGGGATGAGTGTATGGATTTTACACAGGTAGAGCAGTACCACCAGTTGGTGCGCTTGCTCTACCCGAGGCTGTTCAGTGGAACAGTCCATGCCGAGGCATACCTTGCTGCCTTGCTGAAACTCAATGAATCACGGGTGAGTAAATACATTTGCCTGAATAGCCTTAATCTTTATGTTTGTCACGTCAGACTGCTAGTGAGATTCACATCGGGGTCTCAAAGTGCTGCTGCCTGTTCTGCGCGTCCTTTGTTGATGCAATGAACAAGTCAACGGGCTTGACATTTATGCTCCAAGATGAGCACAAGCGCATCACAGGCTGTGCAGTACCACCCTTCTCTGAGGACGAAGTGGTCCAGGCGATGATCAGCGAGTACCGCCCGCTATTGAGGACCAGAATCCTAGCGAGGCTGACAAGCGAGTGGAGGAAGGAGGAGAACCAGGTGCTGCAAGAGGTACAGGAGAACCAGGTGCTGCAGGAGAAGCAGGAGAAGCGGGCGTATCCTAGCCTTTCAGTTGACAGCCAGCGTCAGTCTAGCGAGGCGTTGGTTGGGGAAGCTGTAGGCACATACCTCATGATAGTAGTGGGAAAAAGGCTTGATCAAGGTGTCTGGAAACCCTTCAGGGCTCTCTTCAAAAAGAACGGTAGTAAAATTCCTGTATACTCTCTGAATGAAGGGCTATCAGATGAGCATACTATGTATACTATGATTTGTTACTGGCTGAGGCTATATAGGCCCTACAGTGTGTGAGCGCTTGGAGCAATGGGCCACCAAGCTGCCAGTCACATGATATGTTTACCAGTTTCCTTATTGGGGGAACTGCTAAGGTGTTTCATGGGCCTCATATCCATAACTGAGTGCTTAGCCACTGCATTTGTTTGTATCTGTTGGTGCAAGTCGCGTTGTCTGGGAGTCTGAAATTTCAGACTCAGATAAGCAATCCCTACTAAAAGTTACTTATCTCTGCTTATCGGGGTGGCTGCAAGTCACGTGCACTGTGGGAACAAACTGCCATTCCGGAGGAATTGCTAAGGCGTTTCATGGTGGTCCATCATAAGAACGATACCTTCGTACCTCAGGGATCGTAATAGCGGTGTGAGTGGCGACAATGGAGGTGAAACAGATGATGAGTGGCTGCCCATATCACGCCATCAGTAGCGTAGTCTACACAAAGGAGGGTGCTCTCACCTGGATACTGTAACAGGATGCACATTTGCAGCCACGAGTGTATGCATTCTGTAGCACAAAGCCCACGTGCTTTCACAATGGGGAAGTAATTTGAAAGAGCTGAGACGTTACACAAGTGAGCTCATCAGTAGCATTCACAGACAAAGTGAGGCATGCGCAACTCACTTGTACACAAATGAATCAAAGAACAAATCGGATATCTTGAGGTTTCCGCAAAGAGTGTTCTTCGCCTCGCCAGCTGGTAGCATGCAGGTCACCGGCAAGAAGGTTTCCATTGGGAATGGACATCGCTTTTGTAGAAGGGCAACGGCGGGAATAATAGTGTTCTTCACTGCTTGACCGGCAGGGGAGTCTACGCCTTTGAGAACAGCAATACAGACATCAGACAGAGAGGATGTACCATCTGGCCATCTCAAGAGATTGCCTATATATCTGGAGGTATGACCGTCCATTGATCCCAGCTTCCCCCTAAGGTTCCTCAGGACAATGAGAATGAGGACGTACATGGTGCCTGCATAGGCATACTGATGTCAAGTAAAGCTTGCCGGTTTAGTACAACACTTACCGCCACCGGCCACCTGTGCAAATTTGCAGCCCATGGCATTCCACTTCTCTAGTGTTTTCAGCGAACACATCTTTTTTGCAGTGTTTTGCACCTGAGAGCTCCAGATGGCGCTGATCGTCAGTTTCGGATCCGAACAACGTAAGCTGGCAAGGAACAAGTCAGGTATGCAATCACACCTCTGAGTGTGTGTCCTGAGGAAGGTGCATACCTGCTAATCTTTCACGCTAGCTGGATAAGTCGTACCATTACTGCAAAGTCCGTGGCCTCATGCTCGTGGAACACTTCGGCGCAACATTCAGTAAGTGTGCTCAACGAGGCACCGGCCTCTGGAATACTACCGGGCATGAGGACGGACTCTGCCCCACGTAGCACATTCTCACAGCACTGCACAATGGCACTGTCTGTGAGATTCACAGTGAGATCTGAAAAGAACGTTTTCACGCTGCCCTTTGATGCATGTGACGGTGCAGAGAGTGGGTCGTTGTCCCATGGGAGCTCCACGGGAGCGGGCGCGGACTGGCAGATCTTGAATTTGATGGCCCCACGTGGGCAAGGTGGCATAGGGGGCGCAGCCGGCGCGTCCACTTTGCGGGTGTACGGCTTTTGGGCGGTCAAATGGCGTGTTCAAGTCGAGCATTGGGGCCCCGCCGAACTGGCACGGTCTGGGACACCGGAAGGAACCACTACTTCTGATAAGGATGTGAGCAATGATTGCAAGTTATACACCATTGCAGAGCTTACCTGGCGTGACAAGTTGTGGATGTGCTTGAGACCTTGTGCCACGCAAGTATGGGTCGGATACATGAGGCAGTGTCAGCTCTCCTGTAGCTTCAGATGCCAAGACCGTCAACTTGACACGAATCATAGCATGAGTCATAGTGTACAAACTTTCGACGTTATCACTGCATGTTTGTTGACCTCTGTCCTGTTCAGATTCAAGATTCGGGCACTGTGCTTCAAGGTGCCGCGCTGTGCCATCTGTGGAAGTGCAGTTGTTCAGAGCGCAACGGGAGGTGGGGCGTACAACATACCTTCCATGACCGGTGAGCACGTTGAACTGGAGTGGCCAAGTCGTGATTGACTTGACATGTGCTTGTAAGGTTTGTGGGATGCGGGGGACTTGGATTTGGGTTCTGCAGTCTTGCGAGGAAGGCACACAATGCAGGACTGAGATCCGGTGTACACACGAGCAACTCAATCAGGCGCGAACATTCCTCTTCTGACATGAACATTGCCGCGTTGATGGTGTGTTGTGCATGTGACGGTAAGTATGGCGCTATGCGTTGAGGACACCTGTGGCTTGGTGCTTGCATATGTTCACACTTTGGGACATAGAATTCGAAATTCAATGGCTATTTCTACGGACGGGACATAGATTGTGATGAACTACTAAGTACAAGCGACGGGCAGGAACACAACTTTACTAACAACATGGGACTATTGTACATACTCATTGCATGGTCACCGCGGACCTCGACGCTACCCCAGAGTGGACACTCTGATTCACTGGTGTTCCATTTGGCGAGTCCGAGTCGTACGTCCTATCACCATGTTGCTAGGCACGGCGCAACTCTTGAACTCCTCGTGTGGAGCGTGCTCCTCCGCGTAGAGATCATCCGCCTTGGTCGTCCGCGTCTCACGCTCCTTTGGAGTGGGCTTCGGGCGAGGTGGAGGTGTAACGAGGTGTCGTCTCTTGGCGAACTCCGCCACACAATCGATGTCCTCGGCCATTGGGGCAGGCGCATCCGGATTGCCATCCACGGGCAGGACCCTCTTGAGGGCCATGTTCACGCCATGCAGGTATTGTACCATACCTTGCAAGCCCGTTGGCTCCATCTTGATGGACCAGCGGAACTTCAATTTGTTGAAGCAATCACGGGTTTGAGGATCGCGCCAAGTGCCACACCTTCGATGAGGTCGGGTAATGGATTGGCGCGATGGGTACAGTGACGTCCATTGGCAGGTTCAAGTGTCTTTCCACTTCGTCGGAGAGTTTGCAGTCCCCGCTGATTAGAACCTCGTCGACCCACACGTGTATGCTTTGTGAACACCTGTCGTCCACCGACCTGCAACCACCTCCGTTGCGTGCCGCACGACTTCATCCGGGAGCGCCAAACAAACGCCATCTTGGCCTTCGTAGTCGGGGCTGCTGTGGTCAACCCCCTTCGGCATGAGATTCGGTATGGTGTAGCTGTGCAGGACGGGCTGGCAAGAATACATCGGTCATCAGCTTCCGTAGTCCGGCCCAGCCAGTACCAGGCACTTACCGTTGCCAAGCCAGCCTCAATGTATGGGTTGACCTTGTTCGGCTCCGCATTGTCGTGTATGTCGCAGACCCTCAGAAGGTTGGTCAGGAGAAAAATGAAGAGTGTTGCCGTGATGCGGCCGATGAGCTGCTTCCCCTTCCGCTTGAAGCCTGTGCAAAGAATGTCGTTTGCGTGACTGCACCGGGGACGAACCCATCGACGTTGGGCAGGACAGGCGGGGTCCATGTACTTGAACTCTTGAACCTTGATCCCTATGAAAAGGACAGGGCCACCGTGTTTGTTGTCCTCCCCGTCGGCTTCGACCATGGCCTTTCGTAGCTAGGGAAAGTCAGCATCATCTGAGGTGGGAATCACCGTACTTACCTCTCCGACCATCTCTTCGACGGTCTGCGTATCCCTGGCCTGAACAACAATCACATCGTCGAAATGGGCAGCTTCTCAGTCATCGACTCCGTGACCCCATCCTCTGACTCCACCTCCACCCCGCCTCGGCCTCTCCTCCTCCTCCTCCTCCTCTGCCTCAGCATCAGCCTCCTCAGCATTGTCCTCCCCCGCATCTTCCTCCTCCGCCATCACCGGCAGGGCGCCGGGCGTGTGGGGGATGTCGTTCGAGTATTGAATGCCCACGATTCCGTCCGGTATTTGACGGGATTCCTCATCGGCAACCAGGCGGTTGCAATCAATGAGAATTCGTTGGCGTGGGTCGACTGCGATGTTTGCCCATTCAGAGGCGTGCAACATGGCAACATTGACGACTTCATGGAGGGCGCGCGCTGACATGACGAGGAGAGTATGGCTCTCCCTACGATATCGAAAACTGGGGGTATGTGTCAGAAACGGCAGACACGGAAAGATTAGTACCCACGATATGAAGTCGAGTATTTCTGGGTTGTCGTCGATGAACGTGCAAATCTCGTTCCAGGTGTCCTCGGACACGTCGGGGCGAGTCTGTATAAACATAAATCAGTGGGGGCCAATGTAATGAAGCCAGTGGAGCCAGCTGCTCACCGTCCACTGATCAATGAGGGCCGGAAAGTCGGGGTCTTGCAGTAAAGGCCCAAAGACTTGCGGAGCCAGGGGCCACAAACGGTAGATGCATGTGAGAGGGGCATCGTGGGTGATCTCTGAGATGTCGGAATTGCAGTGCCCCAACCTCACATTGCCCGTGGGGTCCATTATGGGCGAAGAGAATGTATGCCCGTGAGATGAAGGTGGTGAAGATGTGACTGTGTTAGACGGTTAGCAATTACGGTCTGTTTGATTGCCACATGGACTTACAGTCTGTGTCCGCACCAAATGACCTGTTGGAAGCGTATTCGTCCAAACTTGTGCGGTGGGTCTCAAGGGGGGGCTTGTGCTCAGCCACGTTGATGTAGTGAGGGTAGTGATTGTCATCTCCGGTGGGGGATGTGATCCGGGGGGAGTGCAAGTGACGGTACTGCGATGAGGCCATGAGGATGGGAAGATCAGCAAACATGAATGACACGGAACCTTGGTCAGGGTAGATAAGGGACGTACCGTTAGTTTAGGCATCAAGTGACCACAACTGACACGTCCACCAGGGGTGCCACAACCTTGGGGACCCTTGGTGAGTACTTCTACAACTTCCATGGTTCTCAAATGCTGTTCTAAAGTTAGCGGCCAATGCACAGACCAATGGGGACACACACAACTCAAAGCAGACCGCACGGAGTCCCGCATAACGGCCTGCGACGTTGCACAGGACCACTTGTGCCGCCTGGCTGACCCTTTGCAAGACTTCCCATATTTGGATGTTTCCCCCCACCGGAGGGTCTCCAAATATGGTATGCCATCAAATGCATGGTCGGGCGAATCAGTGCCGTGCGGAATGGATGTCAATGCGGTGGAATGTACCGCTTCAGTTCAAATGGTAACTACGATCCCTGAGGTACGAAGGTATCGTTCTTATGATGGACCACCATGAAACACCTTAGCAATTCCTCCGGAATGGCAGTTTGTTCCCACAGTGCACGTGACATTCAGCCACCCAGATAAGTAGAGATAAGTAACTGTTAGTATGAGTTACTTATCTGAGTCTGAAATTTCAGACTCCCAGACGACGCGACTTGCACCAGCAGATACAAACAAATGCAGTGGTTAAGCGCTCAGTTATGGATATGAGGGCCATGAAACACCTTAGCAGTTCCCCCAATAAGGAAACTGATAAACATATCATGTGACTGGCAGCTGGGTGGCTCAATCCTGCAAGCGCTTACACACTGTAGTGCCTATATAGTCTCAGCCAGTAACAAATCATAGTATACATAATATGCTCCCCTTATAGTCCTTCATTCACAGAGTATACAGCAATTTTACTCAGTATAGACAGTCACTGGCTAACTCAGAAAATGCAAAACAAAAAAATGCACATACGCCTCTGCAGATTCAATGTGTTTCTTTATGACTCAAATATGTTCTATGTGTACACTGCAATGTATATGTGTTGTTTAGACACTGTGGACAGCTCATTCGCTTCTATGATGGAGCCAACAAGGATAACGATGGGTAATGTGAGCATCCTTTGCCCTATTGTGCTCCATATATCCCATGTAGTGATCACTGTTGCAGCTCAAAGCAACAATACACTGGTGTTGGATGTGACTGTATATTTCCCACATTTTCTGCATTTGTCTGAGCCCCATATGCACTAATTTGTGTATGATACCTCTTTGGGAAGGCCACATACTCCATATGGCAATTGTGCAGCCACTGGCTTTGTCTTGCACACAGTCAGGATACATATATGCATCTGTACTTTATGGAGAACTGGGAAAGCTAATCTAGCAATATATATGGTCATGCTCTAGGTACCAAGGTTACAGACAGGACAATCTGATTTTGACACATATATAAAGTACACAGCCATATCACCCATGTTCCATGCATAGGTTCAGCCCATACAAAAAGGCTATGCTACATTACAATATACCTCATGATATGAAGTCACACAAGTGACATGCTCCAGATCAATAAGTTGCCTGTATTTATCCCTATTGTTCATCAGGGTCTTCAGGCATGATTTTGTGAAGTTATTCATTGTTCATAAAGCACATATTAGCCTGCACAAAATGTAAAATCTACCAAGTGTATTGCAAGGATCCCACTGAGATTATAGTAGAATGTCATTGCTAGCATCACATCTGTTATTTATTCAATCACACTTTGTTATCACTGCTGTCACACAGTGTTATCACTTCCATCACACAGGGTTATCATGTCTGTGACATGGTGTTATCATGTTTGCTACAATCCAACCATGTTGTCTATCTATCATAGACAGGGCAATGTACAATGAGGAAGTTCTACCTTAGGCAGAGTCTCATACTGAATGAATAACCCATACATGACTTTCTGTCACTGGGGGCAAAATGCGATGTTCTGGGCAGGAATATGGTGAGGGCATGTGATGATTAGCTAAAGAATCCTGACGATATTTCGCACAAGGATATTGCGGGTATTGCTTAAGTAATCCTAAGATACACGGAGGCGGAACATGGTACGATATAATACAAATGTTTGTTGCCCAGATATGGGTCACGTAATATGCTCCGCTCAAGTATGTCGAGAGCACGCTACATATTCCCCGCACACTTTTCTCGAACAGATTGTAAGACAATGATAGCTTTCCTGGCCCAGGATATACATGAAACAGGGAACGACTATTCGAAATATACTCGTTCAGAATACTCAGGTAATACACGAACTTTCCAGACCTGGTACAAGGCAACACGATACCAAATTCGACGACCGCGATCTCGATCTCGACAACGACCGCGATCTCGATCTCGACAACGACCGCGACATCGACCACGATCTCGACCGCGACACCGACCACGATCTCGACCGCGACATCGACCACGATCTCGACACCGACCACGATCCCGACCGCGACACCGACCACGATCCCGACCGCGACGCCGACCGCGACGTCGACCGCGATCTCGACGACGATCTTGAACGCCACGTCGAACACAATGTCGACCACATCGAAAACGAATCAGCGATCTCGACAACGATCTCGACATCGACCTCGACAGTGGATGCGATAGCCAACTACGACATGTACTACCATCCACAGCGATCATGACAGTCAGTGGCAAAAGCAACTTAGATCCAATTTCGGCAATGTGACCGCCGACGCAGCGGTCTGAGAACGATTGATACACTACTGACTACTATATGTACAACCTACCGCATTCAGCGCAATGACCACTTCATCGGAAACAGCTCCGCGTCCATCTGCAGGTCAACGTTGCTCGTCGCCTCGTCCTAGAACGATCGACATCAGCGCCTAAACCCCTGTACGAGCACGGCGGGACTGAGACTGACGAGGACGATGATGCGGCTGTTCTTCGCCAACGCTCGATAGAGCACCAACATCCGCTTCTCGCCAGCGGAGTAGTTGCTCCCCTCGTCGCCGACGAGAGAGTCCAGCCTGAACTTCGCCTCCGCCACGGCGTCATGCGCCCCGTTCTGCGGCAGTAGCCACGTCCGCTGGATGGCAGAGATCAATTGCGCATCCGTGCGGGTGCCCTCTGAGTCTCTACGGGGATATTGATCAGGCATCGTCAACGTGGTGTGCATGACAGTGGACGTACAGGTTCTGACGGAGTGCTCCCTTGAAGAGCACGTTGTCTTGCGGGACGAGAGCAAGGCGGCTGCGCACGCTGTGTCTTCAACCCGATATTGCACGTGTCCACGCCGTCAAGATTTGAGCATATAGCATGTTTCAGCCGAAAGTTTGACTCTGTAAGCGTATCAGAAACTGAACAACTTCCAAACAGATGGCGACATACCGAGCGAGCACTCCTCTTGATCTTTGACAGTCTCCATTCGTCTGATATTCGTACTGCAGACCGTTGTAAGTAATCCGTCATCCCTTCAAGACACAAAAAACGTACCTTGTTGAACAGCGGCTCGATTTTCTCTTGCTTCTTCCGCTTGCTGATCTTGTTCGCGTCGGCGACCTTTGTGGCGCCACTTCGACCAGCCACTAGGGCTCGATGGCTGTGACATTATGGCAGTACTCTCTCGTCGTGAGGATGAGCTCGTGGTAGATGCACCACTCAGGGTTACGGTTGACTAGCGCGGACGACGGGTGGATGTACACTGGCGTGCCCTCCACGAGCGTCTTGTAGCCCTCCTGCGGGTCTTTCTTTGCCGCGTGACGGAAGTACCCGGAGCAGATAGCTCTACGGACGCGATTGTAGTCTCGCCCGGCTGAAATGATCCCGTATTCATAACTATAAAGGTACCAGATGAGTCAGTCACGAACGGAAAACATACGAGTGCCCGATTGCAACGCACCGATCCATGATACCCAACAGCTGCTTCCGTACATCCTGTGTCCTTCGCATGCTTCGCGCCTGAATGAAGTTCTCGTAACACCACGGGTTCGAGAAGTTGCTCGCTTTCCAGCCGTTGTACACGGTCAGTAGCGTCAGATGGTCGCCCTCTGGTTGATGGAACTTGGCCTTCTTCGAGTCTGCCTGTCCCTGCTTCTCCTTAGGACGGTAGAAGATGCTTTGAACGGACAACATCGCTACAATGGAGAGGATCTCCTCGGAACACCCCAGCTCCACCGAAGCGATTAACATCTTTGCGAGCGGGGGTTCCATGGGGAAATCGGCCATCTTGCGGCCCACTTTCGTCAGAAGACCTTCGTCGTCCAGCGCTGACAAGGCATAGAGCGATTCGAGCGCGGTCAACATCGTCTGTGCGGGCGGCGCGTCCATGAAGTCGAAGCTGAGAAGATCGTTGATACCCATCGCCTTCAACATGAGGATGATATGCGCCAGGTTCGTTCGCTGAATGTCAGGAATGGAACTCGGCAACATCTCGTTCCGGAATGCGGTTTCAGTGTAGAGCCGATAGCATTTCCCTGGGCCCGTACGACCCGCACGGCCAGCGCGTTGTCGTGCTTGAGCCTGGGAGATAGGCATAACGACGAGCGAGTCCATTCCCAGCTTTGGATCGTACGCGTTCTGCTTTGAGAAGCCCGGATTGATGACACAGTAAATGCCTGTGATCGTCAAGCTGGTCTCTGCGACTTTCGTGAAACGACCACTTTGCGAGAGCCAGGAGGCGTCGGATCGAAGACTCGCGGTTGAACCTCCGAGGGCAGCGCGGAGTAGATGGGAAGGATGATGAGCTCGGGGACCTTCTGGCCAAGTGCCTTCAGACGCTCGTACAGGATCTCGCACGTCGTGTCGATCTCCTCCTGGCCCGTCAAGAACAGCAAGATATCGCCAGGAGGCTCGGACAGGTGAATCTGCATGACGGTGATAAGCGAGGCATCGAGGTAGTCCGTCTCGGGCTCCTTCGTATACAGGATCTCCACAGGGTATGTGCGACCCGGTATCGTGAAGATAGGGCATCCGAAGAAGTACTTGGCGAACTTCTCGGCATCGAGGGTAGCCGAAGTGACCTTGAGGTCTGGGCGACGCTTCATGGCCTCTGCAGAACGTATCAGCAGGCTATCGCATGCACGAAAGTGTTGCTGACTTACTCTTCAACAGACCGAACAGCACGTCGGTGTGGATGGTTCGCTCGTGCACCTCATCAAGCATGATGAGCAAGTATGCACTGACATCGGGATCGACGAGACACTCTCGCTGCAGCATGCCGTCCGTCGTAATGCCAGTCAGCGATTCTGCGCGTATCATTGTGAGCGAGGGAAGAGTGGGGATACTGATGCAGCGTACCTGCATCTGCTCGGGTTGCGCTTCTTCGGGCTCCTTGCCTGCGCCGAGTGCAGTGGACTCGTCGATCATTACTCACGGCCAATCGCCCCAGACCATAACAGTGTCATATCCTGCGCGGCCGAGGCGGTCACCTGTCTGCCATCTCCGCCTTGAGCACGCTCTACACTTCACACGCGAACCGGGTCGTCCCGCGCTCGACCCTACGGCTCACTGCGTCCAGCGCGCGCAGGCGACGGTTCGCAGCAGTGAGAAGTGCGCAAACAAACACCCTGGGACACTGCGCCACAGCGAGTAGGCTCGCTCTACCGCTCATCAAGAGCGGGAGCTCACCATCCGGTCATCAACGCATGGTCGAAACCAAAACGGACGACCGGAGCGAGAGGGGGGCGGCGGACGGGCGCGCGAGGCGCGGGGCCAGTCCGACGAAACGACCCCATGTCGACTTGGACCTCGACGCGGAGGAAGCACCACATCGTTTCGTCTTGTGTTGTGCCAACGCAAGACCGAACGATCTGGTGCAGTTTGGATATCTTCGCGGCAAGCGATGTCTTCGCCAGCGCATTCGGCGCGGCAAGTACAGGGTAGGATGTTTGCCGTCTATCCAGGAAAACGAGTTAGTATGGAATCAAAGAGACGTTTCACGCCACGCACCTCTTCTTCGTGCCCGGGCATAGCCCTCCTATGGTACCGCTCCACCGGCTGCGCGACTTGGAGCTCGCCGCCCTTTGTCTCTGTTGCTTTGCCGCGACACAGACGCGCCCGCTACACTGCGATCGCTGAGACTGACTCGCACAGCTGACACTGTCCCATCCACGGTCGAAGGCGTGAAACGGAGGTGGTCGTCGCCTTGGACCTGTGGGTCGATTTCGGGTGGCGGTGAATCTGCCATCGGCGACAGTCTCCTGCATATATAGGTCAGCTTTGTGAAAGGACACGCGGAGAGCGCACTTACAGATCGCCGCACAGCGATATCCTGCCGACGTTCCGCAGGGATTCGTCGCGCCGACACCTTATGTTGACTCCCATGTCGGTCGACTTGGCGGACGTCCTCGCGGGCTAAGCCGCCGTGCTTCAACCCGCCAGCTGGCGGGTCCCTTCGTTCCGGGCGGGCCTCAGACGAACAACGACAGCGGGGCTGCGACGGAGCTGCAGCAGCAGCAGCTGCTGCGGGGTGGGGCAGGGGTGGTGGGCGTGGTGGTGGGCGTGGTGAGCGTTGAGCGCCGCCGCATGTAGCACGACGGGCTGCAAGTCGTCGGGTCGCGGGGCGTGAGAGGATGACGCAAGTCATCATTAGCGCCGCGACATCCTCATGTCGAACTCGAAAACATATCGGCACCCCGAGTCGCGCGCGGAGGAGCTGCTTAGTGGGAAGAAGAGCTATCGACATTTTGAGCTGGTGTTGTCCGTAGGCGTAACGGAGAAATAATATTGGACATCGCTGTGCGATCGAAGAAAGTAAACGAGTATAGACGTTTCGCGGCGGGCGTAGTGAGTAGTGACCAATAGAATATGATTGAGTTGATCCATATGTCCTGGCTGATCTCAGTGACAAGCTGGGTAGTCTGGCAGGCCGTCTGAACGTTCTGAGAATCCTACCTGACGACTTAGCATTGAAAATCGAGGTCAGAAGGGCAGCGAAAAGGCACGAAGGCGTAGCTTTGGAACTGTCACGGTACTGCATTGTCCTCACCTCTCAGCCAGGTGGATCTGCGCATCCATCAACAGATTCGTACGCAGACAAAGCAGCACATGCTGGCGTGACTATATAAGATTCGACCGGCTGGAGAGTCGTGTCCCTCAACTCTCACCTGGCAATTGTCGAAGGATGGCCACTCCCCGATGGCTCCAGCTCACCAACCCGCGTTACTTATCCGATGATGAACTGGAAAACATCAGTTCTGCAGCCTCCCTGCTTGTGACTTTATCCCCTGTCGACATTACTGGAATCCCGGCACATGTCACCTATTGCCAGGTCATTGGGGTGCTGGTGAGCCACTGATTCAATTCATTCATGCTCAACAGAGTCCTGAATACTCATTGACAATTACGGCAGCACCGCATCCGGTTGCTCTGTAACTATTTCACTTATGCCCTCGAGTGGCTGGACATTGTCGAAGATCGCGTTGAGATCGATTGGAATGTCGCTGATCGTCCCTATGAACGTCACGAATGGGTGAGTGCCCTCGAGTGATCTTCTTGGGCAGAGAGCTTATGTCGGCGAGCCAGAACAGTGCTGTCCTCGCGCAAGCGACCGCCATGACGCACCCTCACGTGTACAGAGAGCCCGGACCCCCTCGGGCGGGGCAGTTGAGCCGCGAATGGAGGCGCCACCTCCGACACAATTTGTCCGGTAAGTGAAGTCTCCTTGGCTCAATACTGTCTGTCCTAACGTTATATACCCTTAGACTTCATGCGCATCAACCTTGGCTACTTTGCCCATACTACGACTACTATTCACGTTGTCCAGGTCTTCGAAAGGGTGGGTAAAATCAAATTCAATGCTGTGTACAACATACTGACGCACCGAGGATCTCAGCGTGCTTGGGGCATACGCTTCTTAGTTGAAGGGAACATCAATGGGGAACAGCGATCAAACATCACAGTCAATGCTCTGGAACACTTGTCGCTGGACCTCTCGACTGCTGTGCCGGCAATCCGGCGTGCACGCTCTATGCGTGAGCTAGGCTCGGATTACTACTGAGCGAGTTATGAGACTGTCTATGCCTTGTCCTTTTCAAGTTCACGACACGCTGTAATCTACATCTCTTTATGTTGTCTCTTTCAGTTAAGAAGGCTGCTCTCACTATCTATGTATGCGTCGCTCTCAGTCGCACGTAGTGACGCTAAGCGCGCACCGAGTGAAAACAAATGTGTATGCACCATCGATGCGGCGGTGGCTCGGAGGTCGCGTCCGCACCAGGCGAGCCGACATGGCTGGAGTCAAACACAGGCCGATACGGATCGAGCATCTTATGCCAACGCACGTACTGCTCGGTAGTATTGCGGATGAGCATCCCGACGCACCTCTACTCCTTCCTGACCCTATTCAGCGTGCTATGGACCTTAAACCTCACCTCCGCCATCCTCCCCGGCCTCTGCGCCCTCCTCTGCTCCGCTCCTTCCATCGAACCACCCGCTCCGCGACCCACCCGCACGCCTCGCCCACCGCATCTGCACACGCACCCAACAATTCATTGCAGCCGAGGCTGAGCAGGTAGAAGAAGGTCTCCGTCGCCTCGGGGCTATCGGTACGTCGCTACTAATCGAAATCGTCCGCCAGTAGACGCCCACATGCACGCCTTCGAGCTTCGCCGATCAACGCGCGCGCGCGCGATGGGAGCGGGGGCCGAGCTCTTCTGGGTCATAGCGACGACAATGAGGACAACATGCTCGAGATGTGCATGGCGTCGTCCCACTGGCACTCGCACACGTTCGTCGCTCGCGCGCAGCCGCGCAAGTGCAGCGTCAGTGGCACAAGGGGCATGGCTGAGGTGTAGGAGCGAAGGTCCTCGGGTTGTATTTTAAATTACTACGACGAGATTCGATGGGCATGTGGTGATTGTGCTAGAGGAAAGAGAGGAGGGGAGGAGGAGGGGAAGGAAGAGAACGGAGGGAACGGAAAGGAAGGGGAGGAACGTAAGAGAAGGAGACAGAAAGGAAGGGGAGGAACGGAAGGGGAGGAACGGAAGAGAAGGGAACGGAAAGGAAACGGGGGAGGGAAAATGAACACAATTGAACTAAGACCTCGAAGATCCAGGAAACGGTGATCATCTACATGTACTTCGTGAACGAGACATAGCCAGCAGTAGCTTTGTAGAAGAGATAAAGAGCAACGAGATATAAAACGATGAGGCCACAGGCGTGGCGCCAGGACGGCCTGGTGCTCTGCGAGCTAACAATGCCCTGCGAGCGAACGCCCTGCGAGATGGCGCCGTCGCCACTGCCTCCGAAGCAGTGGCACACAAGAGTACGGAAACTCTCATCATCGTACATGGTCACCGAGTAGACCCTGTCCGCCACGTCATCATACCAATAAACGGTCAATGTGGGCTAAAATGCATCAATTCAGCGGCCGAGCCATTGAACCGGCTGCGCGCTCACCTCTCGGACAACGATCTGAACGTTCCATGAGCCGATCGGCGTTCCTCGCACCTCACCGGGCCCGCAGCAGAAGAAGGCATCTGCGGGAAGCAACTATCAGTGGCGGGCCGAGAGCAACCAGTTGGAAAGGCAGACTCACAACGACCACCAGGGAGAGGGATGAGGACGAGGTGTCCAGGTCTCATGATACGAGCACCGCCAATAGTTACGACCCCTCCACGAGAGCCTAGTCGGTAATCCGCCACATAGAAGACCAGGATTCCTCTGACAACTGCTGCTCAGCGCTACAATTCATGACGAAAAGGCGACCGACTTACTTGTCGGGGCGCCTCCCAGAGCGGACGACGACGACGTTATCGGAGAGGGTGCTGACCGAGGGAGAAGGGGAGGACATGGGGCTTGCTTGACTACACGTTGGTCGACTTCGCCGTCGCTTTATATACTCATGTGGCGCAGGCTTGCATTGTCTGCTGAGCGGCGGCTCGCGATCGAATATCTTGACGTAGCAGTGGATCGCGGCAACCTCCGTCCCGTTGAAGGTGTCGACGTCCTCGCACTTCTCAACGCCCTTTATCTGCATTCGCGGCGAGGGGGGGGGGAGTCCGGCCAGGCGTTCATTGCGACCGAGAAGGCGCAGATGTTCGCTCGCGATGTCGCCACTGGGGGTCTCCGGCAACGGTCCAGCAAAGCGAGGAGTCTTCGACGACGACGGCAGAGAAGGCGGATTCGAGCGCCGAGTCGTGCCAGATCGTGACGATTAGTTGCTCGCGCTCCCACTTTTGACGGAGATATCCTTGGTGTGGTCGGCGAGAAGACCGTCAAGGGCGCGCAACTCGCAACGCCAATTCGTCCCGTAGAGCTCGTGCGTTCGCAAACAACTCGCCCGCAAACTCGTCCGTCCGTACATCCGCTCACTCATCCTTCTGTTCATTCACGCGCCCGCCGGTTCATCTGGCTGCTCGAGGCGAATCGAGCATGCGAGGTCAGACGCGATGCGGACGTTGGTCGCGGGCACCTGCACGCACGGCTTCGGCGGGGTGGATCACACTCGGGTGATTCGTCGACCATGTTCTTGCAAAACGGGGACAGCAGGGCCTAATGTCGAGAATCGGGTTGTCGGCCCCTTGAGATATCTTCGGTGCAACATCGAAGGGACCATCGCGAGTACAGCGTTCATTGGGCTCTAGACGGCACACATTGCTGATACTTAATGGTGCGAAGCATCTTCAAGCCTTCGTGAGGTAGAATGTTGGAGCCCGGAGGGTCGACATCTCGTGGAAACGGTGAGGTTCACTCAACTGCTCATACGAGGGCAGGAGTTCCCCGGCCCAGATATCAACGCATGGTCAAAACCAAAGCGGACGTCCGTTGTACCAGAATTGAGGCATAGAGAGAGGCTGAGGTGGACATAGCAGAGCACGAATGCTTTTGAAAGGGACCAGAGGTCGGCGTAGGACGGGAGGACGGGGCGGGGGCACAAGCGCTCAAGGCGACTCTGGCGGACTCCGGTGCCGTACTAGACGCCAACAAGCGCTTACACATCCCAGACGAGGACGATGATGCGACTGTTTTTCGCCAACGCTCGATAGAGCACCAACATCCGCTTCTCGCCAGCGGAGTAGTTGCTCCCCTCGTCGCCGACGAGAGAGTCCAGACTGAACTTCGCCTCCGCCACGGCGTCATGCGCCCCGTCCTGCGGCAGTAGCCACGTCCGCTGGATGGCAGAGATCAATTGCGCATCCGTGCGGGTGCCCTCTGAGTCTCTACGGGGATATTGATCAGGCATCGTCAACGTGGTGTGCATAACAGTGGACGTGGCTTCGTGTGGTCTCCGTCAGACGGCAGCTCGGTGCAGTACGTGTCAAACAGCTCGTCGTCGAAGGCGAGCGCGCGGAGGGCGAGGGTGCAGAGGCACGGCGCGTCCGCCAGGGTGATGGGGAAGGAGGGGGAACCCAAGCGGCAGCGGGAGTCAGAGAGGGATCAGGAGAAGTCAGTGCCCGTGCCGAACAACGTGGCCTTCACTTGTGACCTTTGGAACTTGGAACTGTGCCGCCATGTCCATCATGGGGCGTCGACACAGAACGACCCACTCGCTTCACCAGCCCATCCTTGACAGACCACAGCTCCGAGCCGACCTGAACAACGGGTGCGGGCACGACCGCGGCTAAGTGAGGAATTCTCTGAGCCTGTATGGGAGCTCGCGGAGGCGGTGGCAGCCGGGCATAACGGGTCATCCGACGTAAGAAACGACATGAGAGGGCGGGGATAACACGAGTGTCTTATCGACTCGGGCTCAGTGTGGAGGACAGAGGGACGGCAGGATGGGCGATAAAGACTGAGAGCGCGACTTGAGGGAGGGCCGGGAGAAGGAAGTCGTCGTCAGAGCGGTCGACGCCGAGCTGCAGCCGCCGAAGGAGAACCAAGAATTAGAACAGGTGATGGTGGATGTCGATGTGGAGACTGCTACGCACGGACGATGAGGATCGCATGCCGAGCGAGCACGCATTGCTCAATCTGTACAACAGGACGATGTCGACCTTGCTAGGGCTGATCGTCTTGCTGAACCTGGCCTGAAGAGCGCGATGTCGAGCACAACGAGGACGAGAATGCTGCAGAGCAGGTTGAGCCGTACGCTCAGCCACTGCTGGATCACGATGACTATGTAGCAGGCCCTGTTCTCCACGTCGAGACCGTCTTCCGTCTTCCGAATGAATCTGCCCTGCACGGGCGTAAGTTCCTGGGTACGACTGCGTCGTTACGATGCGATACTCACTTCTTCTCTATGTGCGCGGACGGTGCTAATGCTGGTGAGCGATTCTGCGCATATCGTTGTCAGTGAAGGAAGAATGGAGATACTGGTGCAGCGTACCAACATAGGCAGAGTACGATTTTGACCGCAAGACAGAGTCCAGGCGTTTGTCTCGACCGAGATGCGGCGGTGGAGGGCAGCATATGTCCCCATGTAATCCCCTTGAGTGAAGCCCTTGACGCTCTCCGCAGTCCACTAGCCAAGGAATAGGTTGTTGGCGGCTGCAGGCGGGGTCATCAGTAGCTCTACTCTCACACAAAGGGGGACGGACCTTGGGTGCCCTGCATGAGAGCTACCAATGATAGGAAGACCGGAGCCCACACAAGGCCCCCGGCGCAGCGGTAGTAAGTGCTGTGTGTGGTCCACACCACCGACTCCGTGAGCCGTGTTTCTGCCTGCATCAGCTCAGGGTGCGCATCCTTGGGCTCCTTGCTTGCGCCAAGTGCAGTGGACTTGTCGACCATTACTCGCGGCCAATCGCCCCATACCATAGAGCGTGATATCCGCGCGGCCGAGGCGGTCACCTGTCTATCATCTCCGCCTTGAGCACGCTCTGCAACTCACACGCGAGCCTGGCCGTCCCGCACTCGACCTCACGGCTCACTGCATTCAGCGCGCGCAGGCGACGGATTGCAGCAGTGAGAAGTGCATAGACAAACACCCTGGGAAACTAGCCACAGCGAGTAGGTTCGCTCTACCGCTCGTCAAGAACGGGAGCTCACCGCCCGGTCATCAACGCATGGTCGAAACCAAAACGGACGACCGGGGCGAGACGGGGGCGACGGATGGGCGGGCGAGGCGTGGGCTGCAGTTCGGATATCTTCGCGCGAAGCGTCGCCTTCGCTAGCGCATTCGGCGCGGCAAGTACGTGGTAAGGGGTTTTCTATACATCGAAGACAACGGTTAGCATCGAGTGAAGGAGAAATTTCACGCCACGCACCTCTTCTTCGCACCCTGGCATGGCTCCTCCTACGGTACCGCTCCACCGGCTGCGCGACTCGCCGACTTTGCTTCTGTTGCTGCGACAACGACGCGCCCGCTACGCTGCGATCGCTGAGACTGACCCGCGTAGCTGAGACTGCCCCGTCCAGATCCGAGGGCGTGAAACGAGGTGGTCGACGCCTTGGACCTGTGAATCGAATTCGGGTGGCGGTGAATCCGCCATCGGCGACAGTCCCCTGTGGATGGTCAGCTTCGGGTAAGGACACGCGAAGAGCGCACTTACAGGACTCCGCATAAAAGCGACATCCTGCCAACGTTTCGCAGAGAGTCGTCGCGCATCTCCTATGTCGACCTGGCGGACGTCCTCGCGGGCTAGGCCGCCGTGCTTCGACCCGCCAGCTGGCGGGTCCCTTCGTTCCGGGCGGGCTTCGGACGGACTGCGACGGCGGGGCTGCGACGGAGGTGCTGCAGCTGCGGGATGGTGGACGCCGTGAGCGTTGAGCGCCGTCGCATGTAGCATGACGGGCTGCAAGTCGTCGGACTGAAGCGCTGAGGTCGCGGGGCGTGAGAGCATGACGTAAGCCGTCATTAGCGCCGCCACATCCCCATGTCGAACTCGAAAACATATCGACTCCCCGAGTTGCGTGGGGACGCGACCCGGAGGAACTCATGGTGACAGTCGGCGAGTAATATTAGAGGTCAGGACACTTTAGCTTTACAATAACGGATGCAGTAGAACAATCAGACGACGGGCGACTCGGACGCGGGTGGTGTTGAGACTATGGCCTCCATAAAGCATACGCATATGAATTGGTACAAGAGAAGTATGTTGAAGGCTGAATGCTCTCTGTCATGCACGTAGGAATCTACTAGCCTACGCGCGAGCGCTCACTACTCTGGCATACACCGCAGCCCAGCCGAGCGTCGTACGCCCCTGCTCCGATAGCTAGCACGAGTCGTTAGAGAAGAACGGCTTCGTTACGATGGACGTAGTTTACCTGCTGATATTTTTCGGCACGCTCGACGAACTCCGCCACGTTGGCATTGGTCTTGAGAAGGCGGTCGACTGCAATTCCATCCTTGAGTTTGGGTACAGTCTCGGCCTTTTTCATCAGTTCCTGTAGTTCTCCGTGTCGTCAAAGCATAATTCCTCGTATTCGAAATCGACAACGCACCCAAAGAGACTCTTGAAGCTTTCTTTGGGTGTGTCCTCTGTCGTGAACTGTCATATTCAATTCCTCAAGTCGCTGCATCACCCCGTCGAAATCTGCGCGCGTCACGGTAGACAGACCACTGGATTCCCATCTGCGCTGAGCCGTCGACTGAATTTCCAGCGCGTCGCGCAGATCGGCTCCCCGAAACGCTTCGATCCCTTGGAGATCGATGATAATGGCGTTTCCTTGGACTTCCGTGTTGCCGAAACAAGGTGTTTCCTTCAGCGGAGATAGCTGTTTGCAAAGCTCATCCTTCGAAATAGCCACTCAGCATGATAGGTGAAACCTGACGCGGGATGGCTTACCTCTGTGGCCTCCAGTATCGCCAATCGCTGTTGCAGCTCAGAAGCCACCTCGTCCAGAGTGCCCCCTTTCTGCCACAGAGTCTCGAAGCCCGTGCGCGATGATACCATCATCGTAAGGACTGTGAGCTTCTCTTCGGCGGCCACGACCCGGTGTGCTTGTTCGAGTAACGTCGCGGTCTGCCAGTAGTCAGGACATGGTCAACGGGGGTCCGGGATACAGTAAACGCAGACTGACCTCAGTGTATGTTGCCTGCAATGTCGATTTGAGGGAATGGACCATCTTTATACTCCTCAGGACTCGTGCTGTACTCTGCAGTCTCCTGGCCTTCTGCGCCTGATGCTGAATACGCTTGAGCACTTCTTCTCTATAGGCTTTGTTCTGCTTCTGAAGCCGCCTCATTGGAAAGGTCACGTCTTCGAGTCTGTGGTAGCTGATGCCATTTAGAACAAGACTTCTGTAAAACAATGAGTCAAGCAAACTGAACTTGCATTAGATCTACGCACCTCCGGAGCTCTAGAGTGTATGCCACTCCAGCTTCCAGTATGGCCTTTCTGCTCTCGGCCACTTTCTGGATGGCACTAGCCAACGGGACGACATCGGTAGCAGACATGACTGCGAAGGATTCTTCGAGTTGCAGCGGGACGGCGGAGGAGATGCGTAGCGGGACGACGACTTGAGGTGAAGGTATGCAGTGTGGTTAATGCTTCTTTCAGCTACGAAGGTGAACAAAGGAGTCCACTGCAGGTGTCGCCCATGTGGCATTATACAAAGGCGGTCTAAGAATGCTTTGTTCGCGGAAAACATTTCGTAGAAAAAGGTTCGCATAATGAACCTACCACTCGCAGAGACGGTAGGTAGTCGTGATACAACATTCGGAGACGAATTTACCAGTCCAATTTGAATCAACAAGTCCGTGTATCTAGCCATGCACCCGAGTAGAGATCTCTGCTCTCAACAGAACACCGTACGTTCCGCAGCTAGCCGCAAACGGGGATGAGTACTGGTTAGCATTCAAGTTATTGATGCGCGTACCCTGTTTGCGGAATAGCTTAGCACCGGTCTGCGCCCACTTCAGAAGAAGCGCGAAGTCCTGGGCAGACGAAGCACCCGGTATAGTCGGCATGCCTCGAGGATACGCATTTCCAACGCATAGACGAGCGCGCACTACCAGACACACTCGTCCCCAGCTGTCCTTGTTCGGTCCGCGGCTCCACTCCGCCTGCGAATAACCTGTTGAATGGGCGGGAGTACTGGACGTGATAGCATGTCTTCGAGAGCAGTTGAGGGCCTGAGATCTCAGCGTCAGGGAATGAATAGTATGCTGAGAAAGAATCTCCGCCTCGAAGGACCTCTCGTTGGAGGGATCGCGGCCTCTGGACACTGTTCCCAATGATTAGCCAGCAGACCCATCGTGTCGAGACGATCGCTCGTTACCTGCGAACTAGATGCACATCGTCCATACTCTGCACTTTTGCAGGGGCCACAGATAAGTCTTGGGTGGACACTCCGATGCATATGAGGATCATCAAAGCGGCGATGGTCGTGTATGCGACAGGTCGCCTCCAAGACGAACGCATCGCATGGAGGGTTGGCCGCAGCACAAGACGTTGTCCGAGTACAGCCGCCGTGTCGAGGCATGTTAAGAGCGCAATCAAACCCTGGATGAGTAGGTAGACAGACATTATGCCGCATATCCGTAGATATGGAGCGACGGCGCTGTAAACGTATGAAAGGGAATCCGAGGCGAGGATGAAGATGCACGGAGCAATGCCAATGCAGATCATCAGGATGTCCGCGAAGAATTGGAGCGCTGACATAGCAACACGCAATGCGGCCAAGAAGTTTGCAGGGGTTAGGGTGCGGATGGACCCTGCGGCGAGCTTGAGGACGCAAGCGGCAGAACGCCACAAAATGGGACCGAAGCCATGGGCGGCAGGAATTGCACTTCCGCCGAGTGTGACGGTGCGGCTCAAGGACGTCCTGTTGTCAGGACTTGCATCAACTAGCGACTGCGCTCCGATCCCAGCCTATGAAAGAACAATATCACCAGCTCATCATAAGAACAACCCCACAAAAGATTGAGGGTTACGCACATCGTCATGGTCTGCATTACTGTGCTGGAGCCTCCAACTGTGTTTCATGCGCGCACGCTCCTCTTCGTAGATGCTTTCAGAGTCCCTGAACGCCATTGACCTCCATCCATGCAGTGCCCTTGACTCGTCCAGTATCTCGCTCGGTGAATCAACGGTTCGGATGGAAGGAAGTGGCGTATCCTGCGCTGCCATTGTTTTCTGCCGCTGCAAGAACGCCAGCCGCGGTGCTGCGATCCTCAATTGGTCCTACGACGCTGATCAGCCTGGCTAATCACGACGGACAGAGTAGGTTGCCCTACAGTGCGCAGTGGCGTATTATGCGCCGTCGTTGTATCCCGCTGATGCAAGAACGCCCGACGTAATGCGGCGATCTTCGATCGGTCCTACAATGCTGGTCAGACTGGCATCCTCACGACGGTCGAAGTCGGTTGCCCTACAGTGTGTTTGCGCGTTGCCTAAAAAGCGAAGCTTGAATAAAGAAGTTGAAGTTTTTGGACTTTGTTCATACGCACCCTTGCCTCTCTCGTAGTATCAAATTGGGGGGGCTCCCCAGGCGAGCCAGATAACGTCCGGAATAGTTTCCGGGACGAAGTGTTATCGAAGTCGGCCTTGCGCTTGTACCGCATTTGAAGGGGAGTGTTCGGTCTGAGAGTCAGCGCATTGTCGCTCCCAGCTGGACGGGAGGATGTGACCTGGGTGACGCGCCAGCACGCGTCGCATCACGCCTCTAGGCGCCCGACTTCGCAAGCGGACAGTCGAATTCAGATTGCCGTGCATCTGCCAGTACCAACGTAACGATACGAATAAAGAGGAGTGTATCTCGAGTGTGCAAAAGTAATAGCAAGATGGACAACAGAGACGATAGCGTTCGAAAGCAAATTGAATGCGCGTTCAGAAGATCTAAGGGCAACGTCGGGGAAGGATGGGAAGCCGGCCAGCCCATTCGAAAAACGTCTCCACGTAATATTGCACTAAAACTCGTTCGACATAGTTCATCTGCCCCTCCGCGAACTGGTACTCGAGCCTGGTGCAGTTACGCAGCGAATCAGGGCAGCGGGGCCATCGCCGCACAACACGAAGCCACCTATCTAGTGCCCTACCTCGTTCGTCACGTAGTTCTGAGGCGAGGCCTTGCTGGGCAGCAGCGAGATCAGAGACCTGCAAGCTGCACGCTCCAGGGAAGATTGCGCATATCAATGCCTCGCGCGTAACCTCTTCGGATTCAGCATCTAGCCCTGAATGCGCTGCATTTGGGACCATAACCCGGTCAAGTTCCAGCAATTCGTACCGGAAAGCGACTTCGTGAAGCTCCCACAAGACTTGCGGCCAGAGCCGAGAGGGCATGGGGCCGTCAAAGCTGTGCTCCATCCACTGTATGACTCCACTGGTCCGAGCGCTGAGTGCCGAGGGGGTAAAACCTTCGTCAAGATGGCGGCGAGATGCGATCGTCGCTCGCCGGCACGAGTCATGCTGCTGTCCGAGGAAAGGACATCCCGAGCATTCTGGAGATAGTCGCGCCAGAGCTGCGACGAGAGAGTGCGAGGAACTGCCGCATTGCGACAGCTGAGGACATACATCCACGGGACTCGAAGATCAAGCCAGGCTGAAAGGTATCGCTGCCTTTTTGCTCGTCCTTGACCCCCAGGAACCAGTCTGATCGCGGTAAGAAATAGCCCCATTTCCCCTTCGCACTGATGTGGTGATATCGAGTAGTTTTAGCTGCGGCGGCGAATCCGGGAATGGGCGGTGGCAAGAGGGGGTCAATCATGGGGGCAAAATCGGCTCCAAGAGCCACTCGGCCTGCGTGAGTTTGCCTCGGAGAGATAGCAGGATCTGAACGCTAACTGTCAGCAATTACTAACTGCACATGGCATCCGGACGCACAAGGCTTGTAACGTGTGCTGCTATCTGGGTACGCTGGCATTGTTACTTGCTCCACATCTGGCATCGGTGTCACCTCGAAATCATTGTAGATGTGCTGAGTACGCGCCAGCGACGCTATGTGGGACTCTCCGACGAGACCAATGTAGACGCGTTTTCCGATGAGATCACCGCTTGTCACGACAGAGCTCGCTGGTTCTATGGGCACCACTTTGCGAACGACAAGCGCGTGCTGCCCAACGATCTGCTCGGGAAAGCGAAGAAACCAGACAGGAATCCCCGTTGCGCTGAGTCGCTGTATAGCGGAGGGATCATTCGTGAATGCACCGATGACTCCGGATTTGACAGCGCACGGTCTCTTCATGTCGGCCACGACCGCTGCATCTTGACAACACTCCATCCAGTCCAGCCATGCCATGCATTCGAGCCAAAACCGTTGCAGGCTTGCTACTTGGATGACAGTGTCGCGAAAGGTGGCGGGTATGTCGAGTAGGCGGCCCATAGCTAGACGCATCGAACTCTCGAGATAGTGAATCCTGCATCGCGGGGGCCTGTGCTCCAAGCAGTAGCGGGAAGTGCGTTCGCTGCAGGAGGCCACTAAGGAAGCCAGTGGCATGAGACGCTCCTTGAGTAGCTTCCCGAGACCGAAGACGACGCAGTTGTCGAAGCGCGAAAAGTCATCCGCACTCGGAGTCCACCATATGACTTGGCGGGGATCGCTGGGATCTTCTGGCCGGCGGAGTATCATGACCATATGCGGCCAGCTTGATGCGAAGAGCTGAGGATGCTGGAATGGATCTTCAATCCCGTATCGTCCGTCCGACCTCACGAACACCTCGATCCGACCCAACACGGGCAACGGCACATAGTCGACGTTGGGCGAGGTAATGAGGTATTTCTTGTCCAATGTCCAAGCGGCTGCTACGGCGTCTCGCCAAGTGATCCTGGCTATATTGCCTCAATGAGTGGTATCGCATTCGAGAAGATGGCCCGTACCAGTGTTATGCTGCGTGACAGTCAGCGGAGGAGGGTCCGCTGCTTTCGGCGACTCCCTTCCGTCGCCATTGCGGAGAGGGGGGCTCTGTGATTATAGGATAGGAGGGCGGGTCGACAAGCTGCCCCTTCGGACGAAGAGAGACACACCGTGGTCTGCGATGGGACCCAGAGTCTTCATCGCGTACTATCGAGACAGCGGGGAACGCACAGTTTACCCGCCGCCCAGCGCTCGATAATATCGTGAACTTACCATGTCCACTTCCTCGTAGTTCGACGCGCCCTGGGTGTCAGGAGGTGTTTGCTGAAGCAGTACCGGCAGGAGTTCGAGTCTTCGGCGCTTGCTGAGGCCAACAGACCGACGCTGAGCTCGGGACTTTCCGAGCCTGCAAGGCCGATCCCCGCGTCCGCCCGAGCACAGCGATTTTGCTGCGGACCTACTGGACGGCGATACGCCTCACGTTACGCGTCAACACAGGACGCTGCACGAGCAAATGGGTGGATGCTACATATTATACGCAGCTGGCGGCATTGGCGAAATATAAGCGGAAGTAGGCGGCGGCCCCAAAAGGCAATGTTGCTCGCTCAGCTAGACGCTCGTGTCTCTTCGACCTTCAGTCGTTTGAAGGCATCACCGGGCAGTGTCCAGTGCCTATCCCCCCACCTTAGCTTTCTTATCTCCCCCTCCGCTGCCACTTCTTTGATGCCATCGGTAGAGGCCCGGTTGTTCACCTATGCGAAGCACTCGGGACTTACTAGGCGGCGAGCATAACACCTCGCGCGAATGCTGATGCAAGACGCTAACATGCAAAGACCGACGACAAGCTGTAAGGATACGTACAAAGATGAGCTGACGGGCAAGATCTTTCGCAAGCCCGGCGCCGCACAGCACGAACACGCCAAGCGCCCGGGCGAGGACAGGCAGGGAGCAGGGTCAGGATGACGCTATACGTCCCATCCGCATACCACGCATGCCTACTAACCCAAGCCTCTGTCGTAGATCCAGTTCGATCTGGACGCAGGTAGCCGCAGCCATCCCCCCGCGTCGGCGATATGATGCACCGGACGGAGCAAATGAGGTATTAGCAGGCAGCGAACGCGCCGGGAAGGCATGCGTACAAGAACATTAGCTAGCACCCGGAGGACTGCTAGGCAGGCTTGCAGGTACTAGATGGACGAAGGGACGCGCGCGTTTGCATGATACAATATTATGGTATTGTAGAAGGTTGCTAATCGGATTGAACATCAGTCCATAATGCCGATGATGAATGCGGAGGGCGATCATGACCAACTCACCTCGGCAGCGCGCAGGCCTGAATGTCGAACAAGCAAGGCGGACACGCACTGGCCAACGCCACCAGTATCTGCAGCGCAACAACGGCGCGCCCCTTTACTGCGACCATCCTTAGCCCAAGCACATTACTACATATGTATTTGATACCACTTACGTGAACGATGCTGCCATTTCGCTTTGTCCGTTCAGAGCTTTGGGATCTGTTGTTCTCAGGGATACGTTCGTAGTCGGAGAGAGATGGGCGCGAGCCTGCGGCCTCGGGGCTTGCTCACCAGGAGGTTTGAGCAATATTTTTCACTAAACGATCGTCGCCCGTAACACGCCGCCGAAGCTGCATGTAACGAGCGGGAGAGGCTTGAACATGCGGTCGAAGTGGCTACGGCCGCGCGGCAGGACCTTCAGTATGCAGTGCGCGGCGACGCGGACAGGCGGACATAGGCCATGTTTTGCGCGGCCACGACAGGGCCGAGCTTCGCGTCCGGCCCGGTGTGTCGCTGTATCGAGGGACGAACCGTGAGCGAGACATCAAGGCAGGGAGAGAAGAAAAGGGTCATACTGAGGGGCAGCGCACCTCCGCAAGCTCAATGTACTGAGCGATTTACAGTTCGTATCATACGGAGGTCGACATGGACGAAGACGCGCTAGTCGAATCGGAATGAAAGGCCCTCGGGTCTCGGGCTAGATGTTGACGATCTTGTCACGTGACTTCGTAAAGCAGCCACATTTACAGCACCCCGCCGCCGCTGTCAATTGAAAGTAGTTGGAAAAGGGGAGCGGCATTTTCGAACGAGAGCCTTTCTTGGAGCTCAGATCCAGAGAGCAGAACATGTGCTTTGGGCAGGTGGTGCGAGTTAGATCGGAAGTCAATAATCTCGATTTAACACTACGCGCCGGCGCTACTAGAGTGTGAACGCTCGTCGCTATTGGTGGTTGACTTCTTCAGTGAGTGCCCATATACCAGCTCTTCGCCTGTAATAGTACCCTAGAATACATCCTTGTTAGGAAGGGGGGGAGGTTATATAGGGCACAATGCAGGATGTCGAGTCGTCAGGCTCGCAAAGGCGCTGCATGCGCGCATCATCTGCGTCTCAAGGTCTCATGAGATGTCGTCATGTCCGCTGCAGTTCGCTCTTCGTAGACTTCCAGTGTGTCATCGACAGCGACGGAGAACTGGGCCACGAAGTCGACCCAGTTATCTACAGTATGTGCGCTACATTTTATCTGTCTGCGAAGAGGGCTTGATTACTCGCAGAGATTACTTGTACGACCACTTTGGAAGGGGCGAAGGAAGTTTACGTTGTACGAGTTCCTCATGTGGTAAGAGCCAAGAATGGCCCGGCTGTGCAGAAATCCTTATCGCGTTTAGGTGGCAGACTATTGGTCCATCCGCCTCTTCGTCAAGAAGGGAGTCAACGGCGCTCTGAAGACGTGCCTGACGAGCCCTCCTCTGTCCGTGCAGGGTGGTGACATAGCGCGAACGGAGTGAACCCTAGGGTTGCACTCTTAAGGTGGTTCTTGCATACTATACCTGATCGTAGGTCCATCTATCCCAGTATCGTAGATGCGCGGATTGAGTCTCATGCCGCACCGACGTGCCTCCAAAAACAGTACTTCTCTACATGCCATTCCACCCACGTTCGTCAAGCCTGTATTGACTCCCAAGTTTCTGCTCACATCCTAGACCTCCTATCATGATACATTTGTTCTCCTTTCAGTCGCTGTGACTCTGAACGATCGACAGCACGCAGGACGGATCGTGAACCTTCCTGCTTCTTTATCCACCTCGCGCACGTCTTACTGACGGAAGAACATCTCATCGTCCGCCCCTATCAGGTCCGCGTATCAGACGCTGTCAAATCAAAGGATTAGCAACTCGTCCGGCACAAACAGCACGAAGACTTGCCACGAAAACCTCGCTCACAAGCGGCCGCAGGAACGCATCAATGTCTGCTTGCGATTCCGGTCCTGGGCCCGGTAGGATGAGGGGAGATACGCCGCCGCCAGCTTCAAATACAGTGGGGTGGGAGTCAACGGGATCGTTAGCGGCAGCGCTGGCTGCGGGCTTCGCGATCCAGTCCACTTTAGTGGCGCAAGGAGCGATGCCGGCTCCCAAGGCCTTGGTAGGGCTGCCTGCCGCAGTGCGATCAGGGCAGTCGGCAGTGCGACTAATCAATGCTTGAGGAATCATCATTCAAATAGAGGTGCTGCAACGAATGTGGACTACCTCAGTGCCCGACGGTGACACGACGAGAAAGACACGTACGTATAGGATCGCCTACTATGTCCAAGAGCGTGTCGCCGTGAAGTCGACGTAAAGACTCAAGATGTCGGGGAGCCCCTGGTTCTTCTGCGCCCTCTTATGACAAAGGTCTTCCATTGTGCGGCGCCCAGATCTGCCCACGCACCACAATGCCAGGTGTGCCACTGCCACATCATCGTGCTGACCATATCACACGACCCAAACTTACACCTGACTGTAGTAACCGAGGTCGTAACAGTTGCGATCGCTACCTTAACATGTATAGGTCCGTTCGACCTACAGTCCGAAGGCGCCGCGGTTATATCTTGTCAGAATATCGGTCAGACATACTCATAGAAGAATTGCTTACACAAAAGGTATTCCTGCCGTTGTCAGCACAGGTCAAATATTAAGCCCCGCACAATAACCACGCTGGCATTGGTCCACGGTTGAGCACTGAAACCTGAGGGCAGTGTGAGGCGCAAGACGCGTGGGTGGCCTGGCGGAGCCAGCGAGACATCCGAGCAGGCTCGCTCTACCGCTCGTCAAGAACGGGAGCTCACCGCCCGGTCATCAACGCATGGTCGAAACCAAAACGGACGACCGGGGCGAGACGGGGGCGACGGATGGGCGGGCGAGGCGTGGGCTGCAGTTCGGATATCTTCGCGCGAAGCGTCGCCTTCGCTAGCGCATTCGGCGCGGCAAGTACGTGGTAAGGGGTTTTCTATACATCGAAGACAACGGTTAGCATCGAGTGAAGGAGAAATTTCACGCCACGCACCTCTTCTTCGCACCCTGGCATGGCTCCTCCTACGGTACCGCTCCACCGGCTGCGCGACTCGCCGACTTTGCTTCTGTTGCTGCGACAACGACGCGCCCGCTACGCTGCGATCGCTGAGACTGACCCGCGTAGCTGAGACTGCCCCGTCCAGATCCGAGGGCGTGAAACGAGGTGGTCGACGCCTTGGACCTGTGAATCGAATTCGGGTGGCGGTGAATCCGCCATCGGCGACAGTCCCCTGTGGATGGTCAGCTTCGGGTAAGGACACGCGAAGAGCGCACTTACAGGACTCCGCATAAAAGCGACATCCTGCCAACGTTTCGCAGAGAGTCGTCGCGCATCTCCTATGTCGACCTGGCGGACGTCCTCGCGGGCTAGGCCGCCGTGCTTCGACCCGCCAGCTGGCGGGTCCCTTCGTTCCGGGCGGGCTTCGGACGGACTGCGACGGCGGGGCTGCGACGGAGGTGCTGCAGCTGCGGGATGGTGGACGCCGTGAGCGTTGAGCGCCGTCGCATGTAGCATGACGGGCTGCAAGTCGTCGGACTGAAGCGCTGAGGTCGCGGGGCGTGAGAGCATGACGTAAGCCGTCATTAGCGCCGCCACATCCCCATGTCGAACTCGAAAACATATCGACTCCCCGAGTTGCGTGGGGACGCGACCCGGAGGAACTCATGGTGACAGTCGGCGAGTAATATTAGAGGTCAGGACACTTTAGCTTTACAATAACGGATGCAGTAGAACAATCAGACGACGGGCGACTCGGACGCGGGTGGTGTTGAGACTATGGGGGAAGCAGGTATGGATAACAGAACGGAATCGCTGACAGCAACCGTTTGACTGCGCGCAGCCGCAGTAGCCTGAATTAGACATGCCCGTCCAGGTCTGCTGGCATGATCGTGCGGATGTCACTGTTGTTCGCCTGGCGCATCTCCGTGATACGCGTCGCGGTATCCAGGAATCTGGTGGGTGTCATACTTGTTAGCGAATGGCAGACGTGGATTAGCTATCGTGTACGTACCTTCGAAGGGCCGCCCGTGCAAACGCCTTCTCCCCGCTATCTGTGAGATGTGTGTATGGACGACGTACACCGATACGCATGATGAGGAGATCACCCCGGAACGTATGTCCAGGGACGACTGCCTTCGCCGGCTCGTTGATGCGGAGAGCGCGAGGATGCCTGTCGTGCGTTTGGGTCTGCCAAAACAGCTTGAAACGATGTAGCTTGTTCTGGTCGTCACGAACTGCTATAGTCCGGGAGAAGATCTGGAAGTCGCGCGTCATGATGCGCTCCACGTCGACCCAGGTCCTCCCTCCTTCGAAGGTCGTCACGACGGGGATGGTTCGTTCGAGCAGTTCATCGCTCGGGTAGTACAACGCCGATAGCAGAACAATATCCTGAGGGTGGCAGAGAGGAGGATTCAGTACCTTACTGAGCGTACATCTGTTGAAGCACTTACTCCGTTAAAAGACAGGCTGGGCATAACTAGGGATGGGAAAACTAGTGCTAGCGGCGGATATGAACGATGAACAAGGATGAGAGAAAGGCGGCCGCAACATCCTTTTGATGTTCGAAGTCCTTTGTGTCGCTGGTCAGTGGCGTTCCACGAGGAGGCCTAGTCATGCCTGTCGATGCTCACCCTTGCATTTTGTTAATCCAAGGCTTGAAACTCATAGAGTCGCGGTCAAACAAGTGCGTACATTTGGTGAAAGGAATAACTATAGGGGGGTTATGCGTGAAAAAGACTGTGTGGTGTCGGACGCGCGGGGCTTATCGGTCCCAGGTTTTGTTCGAAAGCGAGATTTAGGCATGCGTTGTGCACGCGACGACACATAAAGGCAAGCAATCGAAGAGACTCTTCTCAACCACAACCGCCATCTTCATGCTTGAACAGCACTCTGAGTATCGAGTACATCACAGGTCAGTCCAGTGGTTTTGCCAGTATAGTAGAGCGATCGCTGACAACCCTCATTCGAACAGAATGGTAAGTGACGCCCCCATGGAACTTTGTATCATGGACAACGCCACTCAACATAAGCGTCAGACCTCTCTCTTCATGCAACTCCCAGTGCTCGTTCTCGTTTTCTGCTACATCGCATTCGCGCTGTACAACCAGGTCATCGCGGACTCGAGGATCGTTTGCAAGTACAGCTTGGTTTCGACGATGCATTTCTGCCAGCAGCCCGAACGAAACACTACCGTGTGGGCAGCGCTGCCTCGACTTATCGAATCGCAGGTTGCTGGATTCGAAGCCCTCTCGGTCGAGTCACGAGGAACCGCGGATATCGTTATGGACTTGACGGAGGCTCGTGTCCTATCGGTGGACTTAATCAATGTCGTCCGTTCTAGCGACCTCGATTACAATGTCGAACTAGCCGGTCTCATCCAGCAGTTCGCTGAAGACGCGCTCACCGTCAGTCGTGATTTGCAGCGGCTGTCCGCCAAGATCGGGACGGCATTTGATCAGTGAGTAGAGGCGCTTCATACAATGAGTAAACCGCACTCACATATCCTGACAGAATTACGTCGACCAATGCGCACATGTACCGCCTCATTCGCACCCCTCCGCAATCGTCGTTACCGCATTCCGGAAAGGCTTGCCGGAAGATTTCGACGCTGGGCTCCGGTATCGAGGAAATCTGCGAATTTCCGGAACTCTCGCAAGTGTTCGACACGGTTGTCCAGACCTATGAAAGAGTCCTACGGGATTTGATGTACGCTAATGGCGCCTCGCTGATGAAGGTCAGCGGCCTCGATGCCGACCTCATCTCCGTCGGTGCAGTTCTTGCGGACGAGAAGCAAGAGGCGCGCATGGCCGAACATGAATTCCAGGGGCAGTTACTATCTGTTCTGCGACTCAACGAACGACGAAGGAGCATTCTGGCTTACAACACTCGCCTCTTGGATCGTGTAGGCGAATACACCGAGCGCTCGCTACGATTTGTGAGGACCATCCAGACGACGTTGGAGGGTATGCAACGGGAGGTGGAGGAGTTACGGGCAGTCGTCGCACAGGGCGGTATGGCGGCCGCACCATCCCCGGAAATAGTGCTAGACGTGCTTTCTCGTGGGTTGGAGCGGTTGAACGCGGTCAAAGTGCGTCCTGGTCTCGAGGGATCCGGCCAAAGGGAGGTCGCCCGTCATCGCAGCTCGCCGGAGGTAGGCATCCCTGAGGAGTGATGCAATCCGCCGAATTCGTGGTATGTCGTCTCGCGGGGTACTTTGTTACTTGTCGTCCTACCGCAGTCGTACGTTGTCCCATGTCATCCTATGCTGTCCCATGTCGTCCTACGCCGTCCCATGTCGTCCTATGCCGTCCCATATCATCCCATGTCGCCCCTCTGCCCGTACTGCCCCATACTATGCTGCCCAAAGTTATTGTGTGCCGTCCTATTTCGCAAAGTCGTCGTACGTAGAGCTCGCGCGCCAGATCGGCCAATGCTAGAGTACCCAGGAAAGATTGTTGGCCCCGGACGCATAGTCTAAGGAGCCATGACCAGGACGCAGAGTCAGTGGTCCAGTCCGCATGCAGGGCTGCAGGAGCGGAGGGCGTGAGGCAAGGAGGCCAGCATCGTGATGATCGTAGTGTGCATTAACCGCAGCAAGCAAAGAACGTGCTAACTTAAGACGCGGCGGACGCCGATCTGTACAAATACGGACGGTTATAGTCTCCGTTGCAGACCATAATAGCGGGCGTTTGAACGCGCCACCCAGACCCGCCGCGTCCGAGAAAGGGAGTGGACCTGCACAGCATCTACGTACGATCTACCGCTTGACGGCGGGTATACTTGCCTTCAGCGTCGCCCCGAATCGTTACTCCCTGCTCAGCTTTACTGCTTTCCTTCCTCCGCCTACGCAGGACCGGTTGTGTCTAGGACCCCGAGTTGCCCGCCCGACGGGCACCCCCGGAATGGCCCAATCCGCCTCAGGTTTCACAATACGCGCGAGCCAAGCCAGTGGAAGTGGACGTATTTGTGGACGCGTACAGACAGGTCGAACTCCAATGGTGCGACGCGCAGCTGGAGTAGATTACATATATACATGTTTTGGGGACACCAATGATAGAAACGTGACATATGACGAGGCGGAGGAGGAGGATTCAACGAGTGATCAACACGGCGAAGTCAATAGATGGTAACATAGGGGAGATTCAGCAGTACAATATACACATTTAAAAGAACAGAGGACGAGCGGTGAGGAAAGCGTACTGGGCATGCAGTCGGCGCAAGTTATCGTTCGTGACATGAAGTGCGGGTGTACCGGCGACGAGATCCTCTAGTAGATCCCGGAACGAGCGTTCGAAGGCATCACCAGCCCGTAGACGAGCATCTACGGCGCTCACCATCTCGTACAGGTTCTCCACCTCATGCACGAACAGCAAGAGCCCTAAGACGTCCTCTACACCGCGCTCAATCTCCACCATGGCAAGTTTGATGGTTTGCGCCATGTGTTGGCAGTTGGCACGCTGGCGAGATGCCACAGGTGATGGAAGCGAGGGGAAGGGGGGCGGGGCTACATCACCACAGTGGTCCATGGTCGAGTTCATCAGCCGCTCGAGTTCCATGGCGAGGCTGCCTAGGGAAGATAAGACGAGCTCTCCGTCGTGCAGGAGTTGGTCTCCTGGCCGGGTGAGGGCGTCGTAGGTAGACCAGAAGACATTGGCATGCACTCTATCCACGTCGAGGTCGAAGACAAAGAAGTACGGAACCCGGGAAGGGGAGGAGTCGACATGATCGCGGATTGATGTCAACAAGCGGATGTGCAAGGATCGTAGTCCGATAGTCCTAGCGAGCTGTAAGCATTGCGACGTCCCACTAATAGACTGGAGTAAATAAGCATACCCACGAAATAACGCCTCGATGTCAACTGTGAGTCCGACCAACTTCATGATCGCTGTGTCTGCACTCTCAACAACTGCAGCCACTTGAGCAGACAACGATTGGGTTCCATTCGAGTGGCCATCGGCGTTGATAAAGCCAACCCTTGAGTGGGTAATCTGCTTCGTTGCGGTAAAGATCGCTAGCGCGAGCTTATACCTGCTCCTCACCTGCACAGCACGATTACCCAACGAATTGTGTGACAGCTATATTGCGCACCTGGGTAGCGAGACCATTCAACAACTCCTCTTGAACGTCGGTGACCAGTCGATAGTAAGCCATAAATGACCGTTTGGACAGCGGAGGAGGATGAAGGCTGCATTCTTTGTTCAGGCGGTCGAGTGGCCTCAATGAGCAGGCGGCGCGTTTGCTGGTATTGGTGTACACCGAAAGTAGGATCGTCTGCTGAATCGAGCCCGCGATGGCGTTCCCATCGACATGAGCACGTATGTGTGGTTTGGGCGATCCGTGCCACAGCAGAATTTCCGCGCCAGCAAACAGTACGGCGATGAGAACGAAATACACAAATCGGCGCTATGGAGGGATCAGACCTTCAGCAATGAGCAGAGCCAAGGGTACTTACAGCAAAAGCGTAGAGCATGTTGTACCTTCCGTTAGCCACTCGAGATGAAAGGGAATTGTCGCTGAAAGAGAAAGGGGCCTCTGGTGACGCCGTGGCGCTTAATGTAGATCAGTGCGCATCCTCGTTTCCGCCACATGTTGCGCACGCCTTCCGCCAAGGTCCGCTTCTCCGCCTCACATGGGATCGTGCCCGGCTCACATAATCACTCGTATGGTGTCGCGAGAAAGGTATTAGCGTAACGGAGGATACGGCAAAGAGTGGCATAAACTAGGTAATGCAAGGGCATAACAGACGGAAGGGGACATGGAGGGGTAACAAGTAGAAGGGAGCATGGAGGGCGTAACAAACGGAAGGGAGCATGGAGGGCATACCAGAGGGAGGGAGGATGTAAAGGAAAAACGGGTTGGATAGTCTACGACGCAATCTCGGTGCGAAAACGGAAAGTACGTCCAGGGCTGTGATTCAGCGCGGATCGATCACAGAATGCTCCCGCAGGCGCTTCTTTTGACGACCTTGGTACGTCGTGATCGTCTTTGCAGTGACCCACCGCGGCTCACCGTTGGGCGGGAGGCGCAGCCTGTAATCGCTGAGGAATGGGTGGGCACAGCCGGGCGATGCGACGACCCAATGGCCGTCAGTCCACAGCCATATCTGTTGATCCTCGTCGCCACGGTCATGGACGTAGATACTCCCTTCCTGGGCTGCCAGCTTGTCCGGCGGTGCCTCCATCAGCTTCGCACCAGAGGACAGGTACCAGCACGCTTTTTCGGCACGCTTGTATATGTTGCGTTCAAAGTACTGGACTCCAGGGGGAAGAACGGACTCGCGGGGTAGCGCCGGTGTTGGTAGCGAGTCATCGGGGGCCGGAGTGCCTTCGCGCGCATGAGCGTCGCCTTCGTTGCTGGATGTACGACCTTCAGCAGCGGGCGGCATAGATATGGAGCTCAGGACATACCCAGTTGCACCACTTGGTGTCGTAGCTCGTTTCTCATGACGCACAGGGGCATCTTGTGGAACTGGAGGGCAAATCGCAGACTTGCCGCTGGGTCGGTTCGAAGGCTCCTTAATCTGTACAGAAAGCCGACTTAGTCAGCGAATATGTCCACGTAATAGCCACATACCGGGGCCCCGAGGACAGTGTACTGAAAGCCAGTTGACCCGCGAATTTGGCCCATCCGCTGCGCGGCAGCGGTGGCGTAACTATAAGAGAGCGTGAGTCGAACGCGGAGGTCCAGAAAGTCCGTTACAAACTTTGCAACACACGGTGTGCGGGGGAGGTATCGATGTCGCAAAACCACGAAATGCGGTCGCATGTTGTCCGGCGTCTAGAAGTGCGTCTAAGCGAATGATACTCAAGCTATACAGAAAATACAACGTACATCTCTCTCGAGTTCGATTGCAGGGGCAGATGAGTAAGCAATGTGAATATCAATGGGCTTCTTTGGTTCGAACATAACTTCAGATAAGTTGCGGCGATGAAAGCTCGAGAAATCAAGGGATGTGAGACGTCGAGTGCGGAAAGCCGAGGAGTCAATGTCTTTATAGCAACAGGGATCAGAAGCACATCACGCCTGGAGGGGCAGCATCCGGAGAATAGACACTTCCCGCGTGCACAGTGCCCGTTGTAACGCGACCACAATAGGTAGAACAATGCAGCAGCAATTGAGGAAGTGGCCGATCGCGAGCTTAGCCACTGCGCGAAGGAAGACGCCCATCGTGGCAAACCATGCCAGCGGATGAAGGGGAACGTGGCAGGGTGGTCGCCAAGTTACCTAAGGAGCATCAGCACGACGCGGGAGGCGAAGACCCATTGTCCCTCTGTGTTTCGTCGAAGGGAAACGCATATATGGCTACACGGCAACGCGACGGTGAGCCCTCCGCCTAGACGGCTTATGGGGTGTGCGACGCGCAACGGGGGCCGACCTGAGCGAGATGGCGGCCAGTGCACTATCGTACTGCTCCATTGCTCAAGTGGAGGATGCGTCAAATGTGTCACCCGGGGCGATACCCAACCAAGGCATCAACGCTGCCCAGGGGCTGCGTAGAGACAAGGATATTCACACATCATCGCTAGCTGACTCCGCCATATCCAGCGGCCAACCAGGAAGTCACGTTAGGCCGAGTGGCCGCATCGAAGACAGCGGCGGTAGGATTATGACGACGGCGCAGAAGTTACCGAGTACATCAGTATAGGTGGCCCGCGCCGTGATGCATTCACCCAGACGGAGCATGATAGGAATGTTGGACGATCCGAAGATTGAATAAGGGCGCTCTAGCGTTCATCGAGAACGGGAGCTCACCGCCCGGCCATCAACGCATGGTCGAAACCAAAACAGGTGACCGGCGATCGCTGGGAGGACAGTGGGAGGTGACGCAATGCCCCGTAGGCGTTCAAGCGGCGAACGAGCCTGATGATATGCGACTGGCGGGCGTGTCCGAGTCGGCCTCGGCGCCCGGAGAACGTGCATGGAGTATTCGGGGCGGACTGGCGGAAGTGAAGAGTCGTCAGAGCAAAAGCAATCAGCAGCGCTGCACGGTAAACGGCAGGAGCATGGGCAAGGGGACGAAGGGGATCAGGACTGGGAAAGACCCGAGCAGGCTCGCTCTACCGCTCGTCAAGAACGGGAGCTCACCGCCCGGTCATCAACGCATGGTCGAAACCAAAACGGACGACCGGGGCGAGACGGGGGCGACGGATGGGCGGGCGAGGCGTGGGCTGCAGTTCGGATATCTTCGCGCGAAGCGTCGCCTTCGCTAGCGCATTCGGCGCGGCAAGTACGTGGTAAGGGGTTTTCTATACATCGAAGACAACGGTTAGCATCGAGTGAAGGAGAAATTTCACGCCACGCACCTCTTCTTCGCACCCTGGCATGGCTCCTCCTACGGTACCGCTCCACCGGCTGCGCGACTCGCCGACTTTGCTTCTGTTGCTGCGACAACGACGCGCCCGCTACGCTGCGATCGCTGAGACTGACCCGCGTAGCTGAGACTGCCCCGTCCAGATCCGAGGGCGTGAAACGAGGTGGTCGACGCCTTGGACCTGTGAATCGAATTCGGGTGGCGGTGAATCCGCCATCGGCGACAGTCCCCTGTGGATGGTCAGCTTCGGGTAAGGACACGCGAAGAGCGCACTTACAGGACTCCGCATAAAAGCGACATCCTGCCAACGTTTCGCAGAGAGTCGTCGCGCATCTCCTATGTCGACCTGGCGGACGTCCTCGCGGGCTAGGCCGCCGTGCTTCGACCCGCCAGCTGGCGGGTCCCTTCGTTCCGGGCGGGCTTCGGACGGACTGCGACGGCGGGGCTGCGACGGAGGTGCTGCAGCTGCGGGATGGTGGACGCCGTGAGCGTTGAGCGCCGTCGCATGTAGCATGACGGGCTGCAAGTCGTCGGACTGAAGCGCTGAGGTCGCGGGGCGTGAGAGCATGACGTAAGCCGTCATTAGCGCCGCCACATCCCCATGTCGAACTCGAAAACATATCGACTCCCCGAGTTGCGTGGGGACGCGACCCGGAGGAACTCATGGTGACAGTCGGCGAGTAATATTAGAGGTCAGGACACTTTAGCTTTACAATAACGGATGCAGTAGAACAATCAGACGACGGGCGACTCGGACGCGGGTGGTGTTGAGACTATGGGGGAAGCAGGTATGGATAACAAACGGAATCGCTGACAGCGCCGTTAGACATTGGCTGTGCGCAACGCAGCAACCGGCGTACATCTCGTGTTCATCAAATAGAATACCTCCGCGTTCGTCGCATGCGCTCTGCGCGTCGGCCCACTTCCCACACATGGCACCGCGCGCACCACTCAAAATAGACTACAGCGTCTTCAGTGTTGCAGTCCGTGCACCACTCAGCGTGCCAATCCTGCGGCTCGTTGCCATATACTTTGATTATCATCAAATCTGGTTGGCCGACGACCTTAGAACACGGTGGCATCGATATCAGGCCTACGCGATTCGATGCAAAAAGTGTATCAAACCACTCACGTCGACTGTACGGATCAATAGCACCTGGATCGTACCGCGATATGCATCTCCATTCTTGAGCATATGTACTGTAGGGCGTTCACATCATTGACCGGGTCTTTTTGGATGAAGGGACGATACGAACAATTCATGGAGTCATCCAGCGTATTGTATTTGAACGCGGTGGCCGGTGTTCTGCCACGTATTCAATATCGGGCGCGTCTGCATGAAAGAGATGTACGCACAAATCGCGCTGCCGTGGCCGAGGTGACGCAGGGTCTCTCACGTGGAAATCCCAGTCGAGGACGAAGATATCCCTTCGGTCAGAGTCAGAATCGTCATCCGAGTCGGCATGGCAGTCACGCGTGGTAGGATTCTGGTCCAGTGCACAGCGGATCGTCAGAAGAAGTTATAGGACACTGTTCATGGAACGCACCAGGTAGCCTATCACTGAATCAAGCGTTAAGTTCAGCTCTGACAGCAGAAATTTCCCCGCTGAGGTGATCTCTGCTTCGAAGGTTGCATCGGTGCCTGGTAGGGAGTCGGACGTCGCTTGAGTGGCAGACATGACCTGTAGATGCTGAACCGTGGGTGCGAAGCCTTACTGTCGCACCGCTTATGAATGATTGCTAGGCCTTTGTGCCACAGGGCGAAAGTGGGCGACAATGCAGGAGGGCTGCAGTCCCTTTGTGCCACAACCTGAACCGTACCCAGACCTGCCCGAAGGAAGTCGTGACGGCAGTTCCCTCTGGTTGTATTGACGCGGCATTAAAATCATAACTATATTCTTACGGCGAGATTCGATGGGCGACGTATCGATATGGGTGATATAGCGATTGTGCTACGAGAGGGAAGGGAAGGGGGAAAGGAAAGGAAAGGAAGGAAGTGGAATAAAAGGGGGATAGCGAAGAGGAGGGGAAGGGGGAGAGAACGGAAACAATTGAACTATAGCATCAACGATGCCGGAAACAGTATTCTCCTACATGTAAGTCGTGACCGAGATAAAAGCAGCCGTAAATTTGTAGGCGAGATAAAGAGCAACGAGGTATAAAGCGATGAGGCCACAGGCGCGGCGCCAGGACAGCTCGGTGCTCTGCGAGCTAACAGCACCCTGCGAGCTAGCAGCACCCTGTTGGCGAACGTCCTGCGAGATAGCGCCGTCGCCACTCCCTCCGAAGCAGTGGCGCACAAGCGTACGGAAACTCTCGTCATCGTACATGGTCACCAAGCATACCCTGTCCGCCACTTCATCGAGCCAGTAAATGGTCAACGTAGGCTATAACGCAAAAATTCAGTGACCGAGCCATTGAACCGGCTGCACGCTCACCTCTTGGACAACGATCCGAACGTTCCACAAGCCGATCGACCTTCCTCGCACCTCGCCAAGCCCACAGCAGAAGAAAGCATCTGCGGGAGGTAGCCGTCAGTGGCGGGCCGAGAGCAACGAGTCAGTAGGACAGACTCACAACGACCGCCAGGAACAGGTAGAAAGACGAGGCGTCCAGGTCTCATGAGCCGGTCGTCGTCAATAGTTACGACCTCTCGATGAGAGCCTAGTCGGTAATCCGCCACATAGAAGACCAGATATCCACTGTCGACTGATGCTCAGCACCACTGTTCACGAAGGAGGGGCGACCGACTTACTTGTCGGGGTCCCTCCCAGAGCGGATGGCAAAGACATTCTGGGAGAGGGCGCTGACCGAGGGAGAAGGGGAGGACATGGGGCTTGCTTGACTACACGTTGGTCGACTTCGCCGTCGCTTTATATACTCATGTGGCGCAGGCTTGCATTGTCTGCTGAGCGGCGGCTCGCGATCGAATATCTTGACGTAGCAGTGGATCGCGGCAACCTCCGTCCCGTTGAAGGTGTCGACGTCCTCGCACTTCTCAACGCCCTTTATCTGCATTCGCGGCGAGGGGGGGGAGTCCGGCCAGGCGTTCATTGCGACCGAGAAGGCGCAGATGTTCGCTCGCGTGTCGCCACTGGGGGTCTCCGGCAACGGTCCAGCAAAGCGAGGAGTCTTCGACGACGACGGCAGAGAAGGCGGATTCGAGCGCCGAGTCGTGCCAGATCGTGACGATTAGTTGCTCGCGCTCCCACTTTTGACGGAGATATCCTTGGTGTGGTCGGCGAGAAGACCGTCAAGGGCGCGCAACTCGCAACGCCAATTCGTCCCGTAGAGCTCGTGCGTTCGCAAACAACTCGCCCGCAAACTCGTCCGTCCGTACATCCGCTCACTCATCCTTCTGTTCATTCACGCGCCCGCCGGTTCATCTGGCTGCTCGAGGCGAATCGAGCATGCGAGGTCAGACGCGATGCGGACGTTGGTCGCGGGCACCTGCACGCACGGCTTCGGCGGGGTGGATCACACTCGGGTGATTCGTCACCATGTTCTTGCAAAACGGGGACAGCAGGGCCTAATGTCGAGAATCGGGTTGTCGGCCCCTTGAGATATCTTCGGTGCAACATCGAAGGGACCATCGCGAGTACAGCGTTCATTGGGCTCTAGACGGCACACATCGCTGATACTTAATGGTGCGAAGCATCTTCAAGCCTTCGTGAGGTAGAATGTTGGAGCCCGGAGGGTCGACATCTCGTGGAAACGGTGAGGTTCACTCAACTGCTCATACGAGGGCAGGAGTTCCCCGGCCCAGATATCAACGCATGGTCGAAACCAAAGCGGACGTCCGTTGTACCAGAATTGAGGCATAGAGAGAGGCTGAGGTGGACATAGCAGAGCACGAATGCTTTTGAAAGGGACCAGAGGTCGGCGTAGGATGGGAGGACGGGGCGGGGGCACAAGCGCTCAAGGCGACTCTGGCGGACTCCGGTGCCGTACTAGACGCCAACAAGCGCTTACACATCCCAACTTCCCACCTTCGACTTCGTCGCGCTGAAGTCTCCTGTGACTGCATCTCATTTCCGTGCCTCCTCCCTCGCTCTCGGCCCCTTTCAAGGCATCGTTCTGCGGCCAGGTTAGATTACGGTCTTTCTGCGCGAACGTGGCTCTGGCGCAGTGTATCTGCTGCCGGGCTTCTCCTCGTTGGATACTTCGACCTATTCAAAGCCGCAAGATCACTGCGTTGCGTCAAGACGTGTCGCGAACCTTCAAGCGACCATACAATCCCATATCAAAACTGCCTGCGCTAATTTAGGATTACTTAAGGGAATGCGTGCTAGCAAAGTCCGTTCGTTAGGAGCCGTTGTGGGGTAGGCCCACATGGGAGCCCCGGCGCGAGCCTCAATACAACGCACACACGGTCAAAGCAAGAAAAGAGGAGCGCGGTAACATTAACACACGACGCATGCGGAGGCTACTGTACACGAACGGCAGGCTCCTCCGCCACCTCATCCTCGACCTCTCCCTCCTCCATCGCCTCGACGTCCCGAGGGTGCGCGAACTGCAAGCGACGCGGTATCCCCGAATAACCATCGGGAACGTACACTCCTTCCGATAAGCGAGCGTGCAAGTCCCGGACGCTGGTCTCAACCGAACTCAGGCCCCGGGCGATACGGACAGCCTCGGAACGAGCGTCACGATTAGCGGTGCGGCACTCGTCCAGGAGGCCTTGGAACCGGGTCAATAGACCATCGAGGCTGTCGGAAGAGGCGCGGAAGGAAGATAACTGCATGGGACGCTCCAGGTACCGAACCGGAAGGAGCGGGCGGCCGAGCTCAGCGTCGGATTGCTCGGCGGTGACACGGTTTGGAGCCCAGGCGATCAACGGGTAGGGCTCGCCCACGTAGCTGTGCTGAGACGGGAGAGTCAGGAACACCTGGTCGAGGTATTCGATCAGGTCCTGCACGTCGGAGTATCGGCGAACGAGCGGAAGGGAAGCATCGCCGTGGGCGACCGCGCGAGACCGAGAATCGAAGAGCATCCGCTGTGTAGAGCGAAGGAAGGTTGGCGAGACATGGAGGATGAGGCGGAAGAAGGCACGTACGATTAGCCATCGGGCGCCATGAGCCCAGGCGAGCCACTCCAGGTCGCTATTGGGGTTCAGACGGGGCTCTACCACTCGCTCGTCCCGAAGGAGGTCGACGAGGCGATAGAAACGGGTGGTGTAGACAATGGTCGAGGGGTTGGGCGGGATGTCAGCGGGCATCGAGGACTCCAACGACGGTGGGCTGGCGAACGGAAGAGGAGGGCAGGGACGGCGGAGGAGACCTAAGGGTGCGGAAGGAGTAGGAGCGGAGGGAGGCCCAAGGGCGCGGAAGGAGTAGGAGCGGAGGGAGGCCCAAGGGCGCGGAAGGAGTAGGAGCGGAAGGGAGCGGGTGCCAGCGAGGTAGGGACGTGGGAAAGGCAGCGGAAGGGGGCTAGGAGGACGGGGCGGAGGAAAGGGGGAGTTAGTTACCTACCACTACCTCTCAGGACTCAGTATCTAGGTTGCACCGGGCAATCTCAGGCTTCAGGTCCCGTCTCAGGCTCGCGTTTAGGCTAAGGAAGGTCGCAGAAGTTAGGCTCAGGCTCAGGATCCAGGAGAGCTCAGGTTAGGATCGTCGGAGGGAAGGCTATCGAGTATACCAGGCTCAGGAAAGGCGGTCTTCACTAAAGGACATCGCGGACGAAGTGTGCGGCGCACCACCCCATCTCCCCTTTTCCCTCCGCGAGGTACCACGAACCTCGCTCGCTTCCTCCGCGAACCGTCAACTTGCACCAACGACCCCCGCCCATCGTTTTCACCGATACCAAGAATTCCCTTCCGCGTCGTCCACGCACCGGGGACTCGCAATCACCACAACTGGAGCCCACCGCGAGGGGGATTTCGTTGGTAAAATCTTGTTGACCCAACCCCGGGTGCCACGTCATCCTGCCTATCACACGGTCCCGAGCGAAAACTCTCGCTACCGTCCCTTATCGTCCAGAGCCTCACACCCCTACGAGAAGTCTACTCGAGGAGCTCGCTATCGCACATCACTCTCCGGACTCGCCGTACGACCCATCGCTCAGGGTACCCGCGCTAGACGGCATTCCCCTCCCGCGCGCTGACGACAGTGACGGAGAGAACCCGTTCCTCGATCCGGCTGACAGCACCCTCACCTCCGCACCTGCATCATCACCAACTCGAAGCTCAGCGTCGAGCGAGTCGATCCCATTAGCAAACGTACCTCGGCGGCGAGCATACTCTACCCCGTCCGCGCACTCCTCCTCGACCAAGTCAGTGGGCAGCCCCGTATCGGTGCCAGCCTCAGTTCCGCTTCCTCCCTCACCACATCCTATCAACGTTCCACTTCCAGAATCACCCGTCTCGATATACGCATCACTGCCGTCATCGCCTGTCGACGAAACCATACCCCTGCTCGTAGTCCCGTTAATCCCGTCTCTCGCCATTCCCTCCGACATATCGGAGACCATTTCCTCCGTCTCATCTGTTACTCCCTCCGACGAGTCCCGAGCTTGTTCTCCTTCCCTCCGGACTCCTTCCGCACAACTAGAAAACAAAATGGCCGCCATCCAGCCACGCAGTATGCCCGTCCGCGGGGATCGCACTGCTCCGAAGTTCGACGATCAGCCTAGGTCGCTCGCGCGGTACTTCGAGGATGTATCCGATCTCTTGGCGCTCGCGAACATTACCGTCGAGGAGGAGAAAATCCGATATGCTCAGAGGTACCTGAACCCCGATCAGTATGAGCTGTGGGGCACCGTAACCGTCCCCGACAATCCGACGTTCGAACAGTATAAGGAGGGATCGTGAAACTGTATCCGGGGTCGGACGGAGCATCGAAGTACTTAGAAACCGATCTAGACGCGATCGCTGCGGCCGGGCTGAGTGCTGGGACGGACACGCGTAGTGGGGAGGCCGAGTTCTATCGAAGTTCCTCCCAGTGGCCCGCTACCTAATGACGGAAGGGCTGGTGTCGAAGTCGCAGGTGCACCAGAAGTATCTATCCGGATTCGACGCGAAGTCGGCGGACGCGATCCGTCGGAGGGTCGAGATCGTCAACTCTACGGTCGACCCCGCGAAGGGGTACAGCCTTGAACAGCTTCATGGGGCAGCGCAGCAGTGTCTCAGCGCGGTCAGTTACGGCGGCGGAGGCAACACTCAAGGTGGGGGTACCGGTGCGGGAGCCGGCGGAGGAGGGGGGTCATCTGGCGTTAAGCAAGAACCGATGACGGAGGAAGCCCTGAGTCGAGCCTTCGTGGCGGCGCTAGGGGCACTTCAGCAGACGCATGGGAGCGGAGGAGGCCGAGGAGGAGGGTACACTGCCGGAAACTACAGCGGAGGAGGGTACGGCGCGGGGAACTACGGCGGAGGACCTACACGAGCGCGAACTACAATAGCGGGGGGTACGGCGGAGGAACGGGTCGGGAGGACCGGTCTTCGGATATCAGCCTCAAGGACCGGGCGCGGAGGGTATGGTGGCGGAGGCGGAGGGTACAGCGGAGGCGGAGGGTTCGGCACCAGGACATGCAACTTCTGTGGCGAGTAGGACACTTCCTGCGTGAGTGTAGGAAAGTCGGGGAATACCTCCGTGCGGGGAAGATCAGACTCGACGACGAACAGAAGATACGCTTCCCTGATGGGGGTTTTGTGTCGCGGTATGGAGGCGGATTCCTGATGACGCTATCGAGGCCAGGATGGCAACTTGGGCGGCGGAGGGAACGGAGGGCAGCCGCAGCAGCAAGGGAACGTCGGAGGGACGACGGACAGATCGGGATGGACCGCCGCATCTAGGAGCGAACATTGTAGAGATCGTCGAAGGATATACGGTCGAGGAGACGACCGAGGAAGAGGACTCACTCAGGCGCGCCGAGGACTTAGAGGAACGTGCACGTGTCTTAGCGGCGGAGGCGGCTCGAGTGCGCGGAGGAGGGAAGAAGGTATCTTTAGGGATCCTCCAGCGGAAGAGGATGCGCGCGGAAGCAAGCCCAGCGGAGGAACTGTGCGCGGGGCGGTTGGGAAGCCGCCGGGCATCCCAGCAAAGGGGGTATCAGCCGGA